AGATAGATAGATAGATAGATAGATAGATAGATAGATAGATAGATAGAGTTTTGAGAAATTGTGAATGGAAGGAAAGAAAAGGGACTTCAAACTATTCTTTAAGCGCAGAAAAACATGCCAGAAACAATGAGCAGACTGATAGTAAATCATTTCTGGCATAGGGTAATAAAAGGAGACGTGACCAGACTAATTTCCATTTATATAGTGCATGTACACATTACAGGGAGAGAATAGTTGCACTTGAACACCATTTCAAATAAATCACTCTCTGTGGATTGCAAAAGAGTTGGAAGAATATTATACAGAATCATGATGCTTCCTTTTGGAATACAGCAGGTTGCATAAAATGTTCCTCAAACGTATTTGTAAGTTCTCTCAAAAGAAAAAGTTGGCTGTTGTATTTTTTGGATGTGTGTGATTTAATTAGGTATCTAAGCAGTTGTCTGGGTACTTTGTTACCGATTCAATAAATCATTTGATGTGATCTGAAACTTTGTACTCAATTTATTTTTTCAAATTAGTCAAAAATGTACACATTTTACCTTGTGCCCTTGTTTTCCAGGTTCCCCTGCTTCACCTTTTACACCCTTGTGGCCCTGCAAAAAAATCAGAGAATAAATAGAGCACTGAATCACTTAATATTTGTGGACATATTGAATAGCAAAATAAGACAGTCTTCCTCTTACCTTCATTCCAGGAAGGCCAGGATGTCCAGAAGTACCTGGCGGACAAGAGTTTGGACACTAAACAGTAAAAGGAAAGTCAACAAATATTCTTATCTTTTGCTAAACAGATGAAAAGCAAATATTCTCAAATTTCAACTTGTTACCAAATCAGTACTGCCCAGCATTCCGGATGAACCCTGAAATTAAGAATATGCAGGTTAACATTTGCATTTTAAAAATTATAAACCTTATTTGATAGATTAATAGCAGCTACTAGACTTGCAGCTGGTACTGCTTTCACAAAGGTGAAAATATTCACGTTGCCATTTTTTTTCTGATAATAATACACTTGCATCATTCAATTTCCTATGTAAACACAAAAAGATTAACTAATCTTTTCAGATGGCAAAAGTTTAATCACTTACTCTTGGCCCAGTTGGCCCACGAGGCCCCTGTGGTCCTCTCACACCCATGGCACCCTGTGTGAATTGTGTTCAAGCACATACTCTGACACTGAACATCATACATGACTTCCAACATACCTAGGGATGAGACTAATATAATTTCCCACATTTAGGCTTCATCCAATGTATAGGAGCTAAATAGAACCATATGTTATTTAAACAATATGGTGTATTGTTAACAACATTAAGCTTACAAAAAATGTCATCATCATTCCAGCCATACAAGAAAAAGAACTTCGGTTTCTACAATTTTTCTATTTCATTTGACCTGTAAGTTCAAGTGATGTTTAGTAAAAGGTTATAACACAAACAGACTCCTTTAACATTTACATTAACACAAGTTTAAAAGATGACGGTGCTGTAAAATGCTTCACACCTTGTCAATTAATTGAATTATTTTTTATGTAAGCAAATAACTCTGACTATATCTATCTTCAGTTTGACGAAAAAACGTTGAAATATTGAACTGTTAAAACATGACTTTTGACTGTGTAATCAGTCGGTGGGATTGGGTATGTCGATGTGTTGTCATTTGTGTGCAGAAATTAGTTTTGGCTAGGGTTTTTGAGGCTTCCGGCATCACAGTTCAATCATTTTATCAACAATACAGCACCCAGTGGTGCAAGAACAGGAATCATATGATTTTAATCACACTAATCACACTAATCACACAGTAAAAGACCTAAATAACAGCCACTTTACAAAAAGTAGCCTCTTCTATCATTTATTTGTGATAGCATAATGCTATTATTGATTACAAGTTGTTTTGCATTTTAGTTGTGAACCTTATTTAAAAGAGAAGATGGGATTTCTCTGTGCCTACTCACAGGTGGTCCAACTTTTCCTACTTCACCCAGAAGTCCTCCAGGCCCCGGGGGTCCCTGTTCACAGACACATTTCAAGTATCGGACAATTCCCCCAAAAAACTTTGAAGTTCAAATCTGTTTTATCTGTTGTGAATCACAGAGGAGTTACTTACAGGAGGTCCATCTGGCCCAACACCCTGACAAGACACATGCAGAATGACTCAGTGTGATTAAAAATGGTGTGTACAAGGCATACAATTATTTTAAGATTCAGACAGCTTGTAAAATGTAGAATGGGCACAATGTTTTTGGTTGATCTGATTCCTTAAAAAAGGAAATGCTACTCACAGCTGCTCCACGAGGTCCAGATTTTCCAGGTTCACCCTAAACAACAGAAATAAACACATTAGATGCATGAACAGACAGTGGGAAACATGTAAAAATGAATGTATTCATGTGAAACCTTCAGCTGTACAAATTTGCAGAAGGTCCAAATTAACATTCCTTCAGCGCATCACATGACTGAGCTGGGTACACTTGACCCAGCAATGTTTAGCCTAATGAGGACCAATGCTGAAGCTCCATGCCCCACAGGGATTTGACTTGCAGGATTAAGTCTCATTTGTCATGAAGAATTGCTTTATGCACTGCGGCACTTGCTGCCATGCCAAAAGACTGGACAGAAGCTTGGCAACATTTCATCAACAGCCTCTGAAGCAGGAAAGCAAAGGCTCATTAGTCACATACTTTCTGTCCAGGGGGACCATCAGGCCCAGGATCTCCAATGGGACCAGTCAATCCCTGTAGAGAAACAGACATGCAGATAAATGAACACACCGTAGCAATAATTGAAGTAATTTAGTATCTATGTATTTCATCTTTTTATTATAAGAAAACCTCTTTTTATAAGTGCAATCCCCTTTGTTTCGAATTATCAATATTCGTCACATTTTCATAACACAATCATTCTGACCATGACCAACTTCTTTCCTGCTTCCCATTCATCAGGTGCATTGAAAACTCAGCAAAAAGATTCTGAGCATGCCACAGAGTCTGTGTGTGTGCATGTTCATCTTAGCAGGCACACAGAAAAAGTTCAGCACACAGTCAGAGGGCAAAACTCTCAGACTTCAGAACTCTCAGGGAACAACATTCCTGTCTGCCTCATTTCAAACAAGTGTACTGACAGACATCATTCCACACTGATTTGAGGATTCTCAACAGGAGATATCAGCAGTAGACACTGCCAACAAAGCTGCTACTGTTTCAGAGTTGTGAAAGATGAAGCAGGAACTGGAGGACACTGTATTAACTGGCTAATTTCACATTTTGAAGACGAAGGAAATGTCTCTTTTGCATAATAAAATATTTAAATTGAGGTGTATTGTCCAGCCCCTCTTGACATAACCTTTGTTGGATTATGCTTCTTTTCTTTTTTTAACTGTCCTCAAAGTCTAGTGTATTCTCTTTAAGGGGAGATTGGATTTGGATTCTCTGTGTTAAATACATTCCTCACATTTTTTTTCACACAGAAAAAAGTTTCTCACACAGTATCTGAATTTTCATTGGTCTCTCCACGAGGCCAGTGTGTGAAGGGCAATCTCTCTTTCTGGTTCCACCCCCTTTGCAAGTTAGAAGAGTCCATAACCAACAATGCAGCAAACATCACTATCTGTATGTAAAACGTGAGGTTACTCACGTCATTTCCAGGAATTCCAGGTGATCCTGAAGAGCCCAGTTTACCCGGATCACCATCAGGCCCCTAAAATGAAAAGTTCCACATTTACAAGTGATTCACTGAATAGCAGTAGCCCAACAAAACTGAGCAGTTTTAGTGCAGTTTGATACTTACAGTAGGACCATCCTCGCCCTCTTCTCCTCTTTCCCCCTGAGAGAATAAGACAGAAAGATTTAAGGAGAGCCAGTTGTTAACTATTCTAGATTAACTGTTACATTGTAGAGAGAAGACTTACAGCAATGCCATCAATTCCAGGGACACCTGCAGGTCCAGGAGGGCCAGGGGGTCCTTGACTCCTCTGCATATAAAACAATAAATCATTTCAATGTAATTTCAATGTATAAAGAAAACTCACATATTTTTCTTCTTTCTAATATGGGCATGCAGAACTAGGCATATTATGAAAAAACAAATTAAGCAAGTGTATTATTGTGTGTTGACAGAAGACAAGATCAGGTCTGAAATGATAAAAATGGACATTATTTTTGCTTCAAATTAACAGGTGCCAAAAACAAAGTCATATAAATTAATAAAGTTTGACATTTGCTCGTTTCATGAACAGATGCTCAGCATATATATGAAATAACTCGTTCAAACAATCTCACCACATTTGCAGGTGCAACAGTCTTGCTAAATGGCAGAAGCGGTAGGGGAACACTCACTTCCACAGCAGCCACATAAGTCTACAGGCATGAGAGAACACATATACACAGAAAATTAATGTCTTACTTGAGCAGAGCAAATGAGGGCGAGCTGAAGGAGCACCACCAGAAAGGACCATTTAACACCTGGGGCCCCGGCCATCATCTCCCGTGAGCAGGAAAGGTAAGAGTTGCAGTCCTTTCTCTGGGATTTGTTGGGTTAAGGGAGCCCCCAGCAAAAAAACCCAACTGAGCCCTCAGCAGCGATCTACACCCTGCGAGATCCCAGAGCTACCAAGGGCTCATGTATATTCATACTGAGACTGGGAACAGGAAGGGATTGGAAGGTTTGTGGGGGACAGCAGGAGGAGGGGCCACACTGCAAACACAGCCAATGGACATCATCAGCGGGACGTTTAACAAGCTCTAATGTAACCGCAATGGATGTTTCACTGGTGTGCTTCAATGAATGCACTCTGGACATTCAAATCAATTGAGAGGATGACCAAACATTTACAAGAGATGCAATAATAAGTTCAAAATTGTACTTTTTTTCATTATTCTTCTCCATCACTCATATTGCAATGATCGTTAAATACAAAACTTGAATATACAAAACCGTACAAAACCATTCAAATCTAACTGATTAAAGTAAATCTTATCAAAGTGGAGCAAATCATTTTTGTAGCTATATCAAAAACTTTTAACTGGAGGTCAAACAGGCTTTTAGGATTTACCGACGCCCTAGCTTGGAGGCCGTAACAAGCTTCTTTCCGGGCTCTCGTCACATCACAGTGTATCAGCATTGACTGGAGATCAAACTTAATGAGGAAAAAAAAAGACAATTAATAAAAACAAATTCTCGGAAAAACATAAGACAGGCAGAATTAAGGAAAATATTAAATCCAAAAAGGCCAATAAGAAACGACAGGGACACCCCTTAAATCTGGGTCAGGTCAGCTCATAGCTTATTAGAAAAAATAAATAAAAAAGAAAGTCTATAATCTAATAAGAAAATGTCATGAGCATCAAACAATATTAACAATATAGAGACATACCGGCACTGCCCTCTCTGGGGTGTCCTTCAGTTTTCCAATCAGAGTAAAGCCACCAAGACTGACTTTTTGTCGAGGGGTGATGTTCTGAGAACTAATCATAACACAGTCCACAAGGAGGGCCACAGAATGCTTTCTGACCTCTAGCAAGAGCATGTGCCATCGGTCATTAAAGAGTGAGCCCAGGTGCCTGAAAACAACAGACTTCCTCCCAGAGTTAAGTGTGTCAAAGGTAAACTCCAAAGACTTTGACTCCCCATTGAGAGTGATGGCAATCTGCGTTTCACTGTTCACATCTTGCATTTGCCAAATATTCCAGTTCTTAATTATGGTGCTGCCACTCATGCGTAGCATGGCCACAAAGGCAAACTCCTCCGGCAGTCCCCGAGGGTAAACCGATCTGGAAGATAAAGAGGAACCTATCTTCATGGATGTTTTAGTTTAGGACAGTAGTGAAGTTATAATGTTCGCTTTTCTTATTCAGGACCATGGACAGGGTAAATGACGTTGTGCCAGCTCAACCACTAGGTGTCGATGTTCACTCACACATAAAGGCTCGCCGCTGCTTACCGTGTGTTGATTCGGAAGTTGAAAGCTGGGCCTATTTGATAAGCAACATCCTGAGGAGATATTCCAGCAACCATTCTAACAGTGCCCCTTCTTGCAAGCTCAGCAATGTGGAACTGGGACATAATGTTAAATCCTGAGAGTGCCAGCACAGAGGAGTGGTTAGATACAGGATTACCACTGAGTTCCAGAATAATAATCCTTCAGAGTTTTAAGATGTCTAATCATGAAATTCTGTCTCACCATTTCATAAATAATTCTGCTATAAAAGCATCCCTAAGTGTCTTTAAAGGTCATATGCATGGGACACGACTAATGTTATTTTTCTACCAATGTCATTCCTACACAGTTCTTTAGAATGGATTCCAAATATTTTAAAAATTTTTCAATGAATATATTTATAGGTTCTCCGGTGATATCACAACACTAAAAAACATTGTATTTTGTGACTGGACCTGGAAAATGACCATCCCCGTTGCTGGTCTGGGGGCATGTGGATCCCTGCTCCAAATGACTACCAGCTTGAGATGAAAATGTCACAGCTGTAAGACGGGAAAAGGCAAGCAAAGTGTGAGTAGTAAAGTCTCTTTGTGTGAGTGTGTGTGGTGTGGGAAGGGAATAAAAGCTTAGTGTTTGGAAAGCCACACCACTTTCTTGAATAAATATTGGGATATCTCTTACTGTTTGGCCTTTCCTTTTTAACATGTAACCTCAAGATTTGCCTGTATTAAACACATCTGGACAGGAAGTTCAGGATCTTTATCAAGGCTGCACAAATTCATTTCCTTTTTGTTCTGGTGACCAAGATGAGTGCCAGCATTGTGTTTAAATTCTGCCACTGTTGAAATATTTGACCAAGGTTTGAGCCTAGAGTTACAGGTTCATTTTCCTATTGGAGTCCAGTCCTGTTTTGACTCTATAATCGTGCAACCAGCTGGACTCACTCAGGTCATAATGTTAACTCTGATACCAACACATGACTAACACATCATGCCATAAGATATATATTAGAGCAGCAACATAGGGGGGTGATAAACAGAGGAAAGACACATAATGTAAAGGTGGGTTAATTAAGCATACAATAATATCATCATGTCTGCTTTAAGATGTAAATTAACTAAAGGAGCTCCATGGAACTCATTGCAAGCCAAAGAACAGAAAATCATCCAATATGTTAGCATTAACAAAGAAAAACAGCATTCACTAGTAATAGCCATCCAGAGTGGGTACAATGTATGTTAACATGTTGGAGGTGACAGCTACTGAGAGAGAAAATGAGTCAAATAAGTTTGAAACAATGTGCATCCTCAGTGTTTTTATTAAAGTTTTTGTTTTTGTTAGTCCTTGTTATCTCAGTTTTTGCACCATGCAATGCACAAAATTACTTACTCTGAGAATAATGTCCAGTGCAAAGATACAGTGGGATCACATGGCAGCACAATGAGTACAGAAAGATGTGTCTGGAACATAATCAGATAAACACCTGTGCATCATTCTACGTAAGCAGCAAACATGTGTGCACAGTGGTTGTTACACTATAATCATCAAGAGAAAAAGCATTAGTTGAATCAGTGGATTGTTGCATGACTAAGACTGTGACTCTGAAACAAATGACTTACCTAGTGATTCCATCCATGTCACAGCTTGGACTGGAAGTGATAAAAACAGTGGCTTCCAAAAGTGGCCTCCAAGAGTGAACATAACCCCAAGTTGTTTCTCTGTAAGTGGGAGTGAAAAACCTCAGCTCACAGAGTGGGATTTCTTATAGACTTGACAGTTGTCATATATTTGGGGGGAGTGAGTCAACACTCTCCACAGTGTCAACTGTGTATTTTATCACAGCCCTCCTGTACCTACCATGGATTTATTGTCGTGCCTTATGTTTCATGCAAAGCTGCAACAAGTCACAAAATCTATTTAGTAGTTCTATATTCATGATAAATTGCTGTTATTTATACTAGCTATAAAATAATGTATCAGCCTGTTGTGGCTAAATTTATCCATCTTTAAGATCACATTCTTACTTATCTCTATGGTAGCAGTGTTTGCAGATTGCTATATTTAAGTGCAGTCCAGAATGAAAAAAACAAAGACAGAAAAAATGTAAGATGTGTTTGTTCTGTCAGGAAATGAGGCATAAAGATAAATATTTACTATATGATTACTTGTATGTGACAACATGCAGACTCAAAGGAATGTTTAAATTGCACAGAAACGTGACGTTTAGTTAAAAATGCTTGTGCCAAAGATTAGGAAATTAAACTGCTTAAACAACGCCCCCCCCCCCCCCCCCCCCCCCCCCCCTCCTCCATTCCTTCCTGACTTCCTACTGTTTGTGACTTGTGTCAGCTGAAAAATCAATTGACTTCCAGTAGTGCGAATTAATTAAGTTTAATCTACTGTAACCAGCTTCATTGTTGTTTGACAATGAGTGAGTGATAACGTTTTTAGTAGGGCTTTTGACATAAAAACAAATGGCACACCACCCTTTTTAGAATACATCCAACCAGCTACTCTTGTAGTTATGTGAATGGTAAATGCTATCAGGATGCAAGCAAATTTTATATATATTTTTTACTGGCTTTGAAAATGCTCTGGTAAACATTGACTAAATACTGTACATTTAATTGAATAATGGAATCAATTCAGAAATTGCAATTGCTTTTCTTGTTACTCTTCTGTAGTATGGTACAAATCAAAATGCATAGTTAACTTAAACAATCTTGTTGGCATGTATTGTAACAACTACAACAATAATGATAATAATAATAATGATAATAATAATAATGATGATAATAATAAGAAGAAGAACCATCATCACCATCATTATTATTATCATTGTTAATATCTTAAATGCGTAGTTCAAAGTTCATTATTAGTAATGATAGTAGTAATATAGTCATAGTAGTGTTGGCGGTGCTAATAATGTCGTTGTATTGTATGTTCCATGAACAGGCTGCAGTTTTGCACGGCGTCAGCTGCGTCTCTACTATGTGCAGTTACGCGCAGTTAAACGTTCATCAGCGAGCAGCTGGAGCAGCGCCTGCTGACAGCTTCTCAGATTGAGCACAGTTAGCTGGATTTGCCTGGCAAACACTGTAAAGAGACGACATTCAGACGGCTACATGGCTGGTCGACTATGTTCAGTCTCAAGGACGTTTACCCTTTAAGCGCTGCCAGATGAGGAAGTGAAACACTACGTTGAGAAGTGTTTTTTTTTTTTTTGGTCGGCAAGCCACAGTCAACAGACGACGAGAACTAAAACTGAAGCTAACATTGGTTAGCGAGCTAATGTTAGCTTCTCAACGCAATGGTGAGTTGTGCTAGCTGTATTTGTGCGGGTAATGTTACCTGGGGAAGACTGTTCGTTAGGCGGCTACGTTAGCAAACTGGCTAACAAGGGTTACTTTTTTTCTTCAGTTAAAGTATGTTGTATTTTTGGAGATGCGTTCTTGTTCGCTTGTGGGCCTTTATAAAGATGTTTTGGTTGCTTCTCACCTGTAACTGAATGGAAAAGATATCCCTGCACTGATTCTGCCGACCAGCCGGAGACCAACAGGACTTCACTACTCGAATCATAGCCATACAATGTAACTGTATATATTTCTGTAGTGCTCGGTATTAGTTGACATTCTTATGAAAGAGGAAACCATCCACCGATTAATTAAGGCCTTGTCTGTTACATTCCTTCTGAGGACTTCTATGTTTCAGTTTTACTTTACCCTTGGAAATTGTGTGGCCTAAAAATGTTTTAAGTGGTTGTTACATTTGCTTATTACCATCATTCCAACACAAATTCTGCCATCCATCAGATGCTGAACCCTGAGAAGTATTCGTATCTACCGTTTGAGGTTAAATGTCCCTTTAAACATTTAAAGTCGAACATGGTGTTACCGTTGTGTTATTTATGGCTCTTCAAATCCTTTAATGGTTGAACTATTTTAAAAAGCTACGTATTGGGTTCAATAAAGAGGGTTGAGTCTTTGATAGCGGCTGAAATTTATAACATTGCTACTGTGGATAATGTAAGTAGGTGTCATTTATCCTCAGTATTTCTCCTTTTCTTTGCGACTTCATCTGACAGTAGTCAAGACTTCTTCCAGTAAATGATATGTAGGTGCACCTTCATCTGTTCTTCTTCTTTTTCTATTGATGCTACAAATCATTGTTTGGGTCAAAATCACAGGGGGATATCGTTGTATTGGGGTTTGGTTTTCACTGGCAAGAACACAATGTCATGTTGTTGCATAGTGAATGATTTATTCATTTCATACATGACTGATTTAAGAAGCGTCTGTGGAATTGTTTTTGCCAGGTTTTTTTTTGTGCCCCTCCACGTCTAAAAATATGGGCAAGGCCTTGTCTTTAATTAGGCCTAAATAAATCCTGAGCTTAAAATGTTTGCAATAAATGATATGGATAGGTGTGTTTATTTCTAAAACCAATACTAGGCAATATTGTATTTCAGGCCTGTTTCTGCAGGGTTGTTGATGCTGTCCTCCCCATACACTGCCAGACTTTATTATTGTTTTGGGCTGTCAACCAGTTAGGCCAAATGTCAACCTCATTTTCTCATGAACACTATACAGAGTTAGCCCTTCAAATAGTTTATTAATATATTGTGGATGTATAGCTTTTGGTGTTGATTTATTTTACTTATGTATTTTAAAAGGATTAGAGCTTTGTTTTTAGTTAAATTCCATTGTGTTTATAAAGTTATTATTATTACAACTTATCGATGGTGGAAAAAATACAGAGAAGCCAAAAATTGTAAAGATCTTTTTGTTATGACCCAGTCTTCATACATTCTGCCTGCAGGCCTACAGGAGTATCCCAGATGACTTAAGGCTTCTGTGCCTGTAGAGTCCAAGATGACTGAAGTCCAGGCCACAGTGGAGTTCTCTGTGGAGCTCCACAAGTTCTACAATGTGGACCTGTTCCAAAGAGGGTAAGTTTTGGCGTGTGTTTTTAATTAAACCTAGTACGGTGCTCCTTTTGCAACATGGCTTCAATCAGCAGGTGGATTAATGATACAATATCAATAAAATGTCTTATATTTTTTATGTACATAATGTAAAATATGTAATGCAGTAAGCCGTGCTTTAAAAACAATAAGTTGGCTTTGGTGGCTTTGAAGGGAATGTCAGTGACAGTTTGTTATTAAATGGAAACTGAGTGACTGCCCTATCTGAGGCAGTCACACTTATGCTTATCTTACTAACATTGTTGAGCATGCTAAAAGTTGCTCTAAGAACACTCTTCTGTAAGTGTAAACGAAAACATGTTCTTCATCTCTGTGATAATGGAGGATATTTCTCTGATGTGAAGTAGCTGAATTTGCAGGTTCACAGTCACAACAAACTCCATTTTACTAAACTATATGCTTTTAGTTCAGTGTTCAAGATGTTTCAAGCATCATGTAATTGTACTGTAAAGGATAGTAAACACAAAATATTATTGTGGATGGCACAGATTAACTAATCTTTCTAATACTACTAGTGCTTGTTTTTAGAAAACCTGTAACATTTATCATGCAATAAGGATGTGGTGTAGAAGCTAATGTTTTGTAAAATTATGAAGGCCATTGGATCCAGCTAAAGTATCTATTTGTCAAACAAAGAGTTTGTAGGCTGACCAACAAAAAAGGTTCAAACTGCGCAGCTCTAATCAATGTCTTTAAAGCACAGAAATTATTTTTACAGCAGTAGTGTAATGATACCTCACTGCAATAAGAACAAACTCCTGCTCAATGCTTCTGAGTCATCAGTGCTTTGAGAGCTTAGGTTTACTACATGAGTGGAAGGAAAGTGCTCATTATTCATTTATGAGAGCTGTAGTGTCCTTTTACTAGTAAAGGCACTTGTATATAATCTGTGTGGTTGGTCCCTCTCACACAGCCCCTCTTGTAATGTTCTGGACCGTGCTTATCGTGTTCATGTATCTTATCAATTTCTAACATTTGTGCCTTTTTTCAGGTTCTACCAGATGCGTGCCAGTCTTAAGGTGCCACCTCGTGTTCCCCACAAAGTTGAGACCAGTCTTCTTCATCCAGGAGGTATAAAGATTTTAAGATGCACACATTATGAACTTGAGCTGTAAATCGTTGACTTACATTCTATTACGGTAGTAGAAATAGAAATGCTGTAATTTGAAAGGATTTATAAATCTAGGTGGTCAGTCCTGGAGCCACAGGCCTGCTCATGTACTGTCTGTTCTCAGTTTAAAGGGATAGAGTTAATGTTTTGTTAACTTGTAGAAGGTATTTGCTTCTTTATTTTGTCAGAGGACAAGTTGTCTCCTCTTACATATGATTTTAAAGTGGTGCCTAACCTTGAGGTAGATGTAAGTGTGTGTTTGATTTTCACACGGTAACATAATTTATTTTTATTTTTTTTTAAAGATTTTGTTGGCTCTAGTGGCCTTTAATGACAGTAGCTGGACAGGAAAGGGGGCAGAGATAGAGAGGGGGAGACCTGCGGGAAAGGGCCATGGGCTGGACTCGAACCCAGGACACCTGCTTATGAGGAGGTCCTCATACATGGTCCGCCCGCTGTAACCATTAGGCTACGGCTGCGGCCCTCAGTAACATAATTTTAAGGGGAAATTGTACAGCAGGTACGCAACTTATTTGTCTCATGAGGCAGCTCTTTGTTCTCAGTATTTCTCAGAGGCTTTGTGCCTTAGCCTCATAAGAACCTGCACCGATTCTTTGACACAAAGCAATCTATTCATTGCAGCAAAACTGAACAGGATAATCAAGAGCATGCTGCCTTTGTTCAAATGTTTAATTTCCTGTTGTGTGTACTTTGGCATTGTTTTAAAATTAAAGTTGATTTGCGCGGAGGAAAAACACACAAATTCAAATTTGGTCTGTGTAATGTGGTATACCTTATCTGATCATTCCTTACATTACGTTTTGGGAACATTAAGTCTTCTGGTTAACAATTGTTCTATATAAGAGGTGTCTCTGTTGTTATTCAGTCGTTATCCTTTATTAACATGTAGTTAATCATAGTGTGGTTTTTTTTTTCAGGCTCTGATCTGGCATTTCCTGCCTCAGTGCAAGATGATGTCATCAGCAGCAAAACTTTCCAAATCCTCTATAAGAATGAAGAAGTTGTGGTAAACGATGTCCTTCTCTTCAAAGTGACGATGCTGCTGGATGAGAAGAAGGTAGGTTTAGGAACAAAAGGGGAGGACTTTAGAATTTCTGCAAACCTTATACAATATTGTTATATTTTATATGATCTCATACTTTTCTTGATCTGCTTAACAAATTGCCAATCTACATTGACTATTTGTGATAAAATATTTTAAGGTGAGTCTTTTATAGTTACATTAACACAATCTGGAATTTCAGATTCTTTCTTCAGGCAAAGTACCAGATTAGGCGCATTCTTGACAAGCAAAATCACTCAAATTATTAACTTTAAGTAATCTGGGGCAACATAATGGTTTGTATGAATATAGTCTCCAGAAGAGCTATCATAAGCTGTCTGTTTAAAATATGAACCATTATTGGTCTCTCAAAGGCAGTGGTCTGTTTCGTTGGGGCATTAAACAACCTTCATAAAGACCTGGTTGTTTGAACTTGATGAATTGAAAAGTTTTTGGCAAGTGTATTGATGAACTATAAGCACTATTGCTTACAATGCGGTTCATGCTCTTCACTGGTTTCAATTATCCTCAGGTGGAAGAGTCTCTCAGTGACATGGATTTTCAGCTCTTCTTGGATTTGTATTTCACAGATGGTGATTATACGTAGGTGTTGATTTTTTTTCAACTGCAATATAGAATTTTATATTTTCAAGTCTTGCCCAAAAAAACAACAACATGTATTTGTTATATAATCTCCACAGGCCAGATGATCCAAGTTCTCTGCAGAACATCAGTGGACGGATACTTCATTTGCACTTTAGCCCCCAGCGAGGCATCCACCAACACATCAATGTCATGTTTGATTATTTCCACCTGTCTGTCATCTCTGTTGTCATCCATGCCTCACTCGTGGCCCTACATCAGCCCCTTATCAGGTCTGATATACATGGACAGGCAGTCTTTCAGAAATTGTCATTGAATATGTTGTGAAGAATGAGTTTTACAATTACCTGAGATTGATCTCAATGCATGTGTCCCCAGTTTTCCTCGACCTGTGAAAACCACGTGGCTTAACCGAAATGCTCCAGCACAGAGCAAAGACTCTGCCATCCCACCTTTGGAAAATGTAGTGTTCGGCAGCACTTACGTCAAACAAGTTTCTCCAGATGTAAGCAAACCCCTTTGTTTCATTGACCGCATCATGCACTTGGTTAGATGTAAATGAATGTCATAAGCCACTCGAAACCTTAACCCTGAAATAAGCTATAAGAACAAAAGTAGCCATGAGCAGTGCTGAGGATTGAGGTAAAGTTGTGTTTTATATTCATTGCATTTAAAGCAGACAGCTGGAATAGACTCCAGCACCCCGAAGCTCTACCTAGAATAAACAGGTATAGAAAATGGATGGATGCATTTAAAGCAATGATTGCTCTGTCAGTTTGTTGACAGATAGGACAGAAGAAGACGAAACTGTCAGATCGCAATAACATTTGTCCAAAAGGAAAATTGACTCTCATGGCAGCAAAGAACACTCGGCTCAAGCTTCCCGTGAGATGCAGAGCATTACTGTGCCAGAGTCATTCAGGCAGAGCAGCATTGCTTGGAATGCCTTTGGCCACTTTGACGTGTTATAGAATATTACAGGATTTAAATTGTTAAAGTGACAATTGCAATGATTGTGTGTTCTCCCTGCGTTTTGTATTTATTTATGTATTTATTGTTTTCAGGAGTGATAAAGTACAGAGATCAAATTATTTAGGAACACAGTTAGGAGAGAGACTTACGATGAAATTATTTTCCTGTTTAGTGTTCAATTCCAGTGAAGTGTTGCTGGAACAACCTACTCAGTGTTTTAAGTAAAAGAGAGATAATGCCGTTGGCATTACACATTTACTATCTGCTTAACATCAGTATACTACATAAATCAACAATCTAATAAAATTTTTCTTTAAATGCATATTTTCATATTCTTAACTACTGACAGCGCTTAACACTTTTGAAGGATCTAAGATAAAAATGGGCAAAACTGTACATATCCCATCACAAAGGTTGCTCCTCATTGTGGTTTTTATAAGGCAATGACCAACAACCACAGCAGTGTATGCAGCTGCAAAAATATAGTTTATGGAATGTGTCAGTATTGTGTCTTTGTATCTATGATTGCTAAAACAGAAATTAACAGATTTTCATGAAAATCCAGATGTTTTGTATGGTCCTGTAGATCTTCTAGATCTAGACCTGTGATTATTCTATTTAGCCTTTGTGAGGTTGTGCAGTCTCAAACTCCTTGTTTCTCTGTGATCTCTTATCTGTGTCTTTTATGGTTCATTAGGGCAGGACATTCCTGATATCTGACCAGTGTCTGCAGCATGCCTTTGGTCTGCACCATAACCTTTGCTCCAACCTCTTAGTAGCCTACCAGGGCCTCTTTGGCTATTTCACCTCTATTACCAAGGATCTGCCCTCCTCCCATCGTATGGAACTAGGTACAGTTGTATCAATGCTTAAATCCACTTGTGTGTGGCTGTGGGGAATGTGCAACCCTAAATGGGTTTTATTTGCATGTTGTTATTTTTCTTTTTAATTAACTCTAAGAAGAAATTATCCCCACAACCATTACATTTCTATTCTTTTTGTTCTTTTTGGCATTTGTGTTTGTTGTAAATGTTTTTTTTTTTTGTGTCATGTCATCTCACCTGATCCTTACATATTCACATGTTGTTTAAACAGGCTTTCCGCACACAGATTTCATTATTTATTTTTGGGATCTTAATGTAGTTAGCTTTTTTAACATCATTAAACTCACAAAATTATTCCTACACTGAGTAAATATGTTAACCAGTTGAATATATCCAAACACAACTCCCAAGCACAAACTAATCTGCACCATTGGATTTATATTAACCCAACCCAAATACCACATAATTTAAAGAAAGGTTAAATATGCCTATATGTGCAATCTTACTAGCCAAACCCAGCATGCAAGTCCTATATGAGAGAGTACTCAGAAGACCCTATCCCCGAGGTCAAAGGCACGTCTACATAGGTATGTCCCAACCCTTACAGTTCCTCAAATCAACTTTCTTTTCTTTCCCCTTTCCTTTTCACTGGAGTTTTCTTCAGGAAGAAAACACCACGCCCTCTGACCCACTTTTCAGAGACCTTATGTTCAAGCTGCTGTCATCTTATTTCTCACTGCTGTATTTTCTATGTACCCTTCATTCCTTTCCATCTGTGTAACAAGGCCTTTGGCAAAATGTTTCCTAACAATCTGGATCTATCAAATGTGTTTGCTTTCTTTGGTAATATCATGTAGAAAATAGTCGTTAACACCAATGCTTACTGACACAATACTATAGCCTATGTATTATAGCTTCTACTTTTTTATATTCTGGAAATTGAAATAATAGCTTATAATAACTCTCCGTCTCTAGAACATCTTGACTTAGAGGCCCGTCTAGCTGAGCTCTGTGAACAAGTCAAGGTAAGACCTGTTGATTACTTTGGAAAATTGGGCCACAGTGGCTAGCAGTGAAACCTAGTTTGGAAATAACAAGTATCTACAGAAAATATGGAAGGGAAGTAATTTATTAACACTGGTGACTGAGTCTCTCTTGGATTTTGACTCGAAGTTTTAAAATTCTGAAGGTTTTAGAATTTTTAGTCATAATGGGTTGAGAAAGGTGACTCCAGGTATGTTGGCAAATTCTAGTGGCACAGTAAAATAGCATGCCACCAGCAAACTAGTAGTTATTTTTATGTTACTTTAGATTTCATAGGGTGAGAAATAAAACTAATCTATGAAAAATTCATATTTGCATTGACAATCAAGGTAAGATAAAAGAGAGTCCCCATTGATTTTTCTTATTCTTGATGTATGGAAATATGAACACTTGAGCCCTCTGCTGGATAACTTTTGTCTTCCTTTTGTTTTTAGCAAAAATCTGAGTCCCCTGATGAGCTGGCAGAACTTGTAAATATGAACCTGGCACAACTCTGCTCTCTGCTCATGGCTCTCTGGGGACAGTTCTTGGAGGTTGTGTCCCTACAGGAACATGTTGCTGCCCTTTTAGCAGTGGAGCACCATACACTAAGAGTGAGTTGAACTTTGCGTATAGATGGAAACATCTGCATATTTTTATGTCTGTCTTTCTGATTGTTGATCCCACTCTATTCTGATCATATTCTTTATGGTTTGCCATGTAGCATACATAATCTGTTCTATTTCTTTGCATTTTCCAGTAAACTTTTTTATAAATTGCTTTTATACAAAATTAACACAAGGTTTTGGGCATTTTTATAGGAAGAGGACTCTTTGTTTACAAATGTAGTTATATACAGAAAGGCAACGTATATGCCTCCTGACAAAAATAAACACATTTCTACATGAAAAGAATAGCATGCTGTTTCTATGTTCATGCAGGTTAGGCGGTTTGCTGAGGCTTTCTTTTGTCTCGAACACCCAAGACAATCTGCACTGGCATATCAGGAGCTACAGTAAGTCGTGCTGGGATTGTATATCTTCTTGGTCAAATATGGCTTTGATATTATCATATTTCGGCCAGTTTGATTTTGAAATACCTCAGCCCGTGTTTGTTTTAACTTTCTATTACCTTTGCATTTTCCATTACCCCCATCAGTGCACACAGTCATCAGCATATGACGAATGCAATCAAAAGCTCCAGCTACTTCTTATCTTTGCCTCCACTTCCAGTGGAATGTGCCGACCTTGATGGTGATGTTAATTCTTTGCCAATCATCTTTGAAGACAGATACCTGGAATCTATCACTGAAGGTCAGTAACAATTAGTATTGCTTTTTAAGTCTTTGATATGTATATTTATTTCTGTTTTCATGTTTTTGTTCAACTTTATTTTATTCCAAAGACCGTGATGGACCCTGGCTGGGTATGCAGAATACACGGACCGGTTCAGTTTCCAATAAAACAGACAAGCAAAATGCAAAGGAGAACAGTGCAGCAGCCAGTCCCATTCCTGAGTCACGTGGTGCTCCTTTGGATAACACCTGCCCAGAAAGAATTGATCCACCTCCAAAGTCCAGAGGCAAGTCTATAAAACTGAAGAAAAATTCAAAGACTGAGAACTCAAAGAAACTGATACGACAGGGATCCAAGGACTCAGTGGTGTTAGTGGGCTATAAGAACATTAAGGCTCCCACTAGCACAAAGTACAAGGAAGGGGAGGCTCCTCTTAATCACAATGAAGATCGAGATGCCCTGCTTGGGGATTCAAGTAGTCTTTTACGGACTAATGCTAGTTTTGTTTTCGACTCAATTGCCTCATCAGCACGAGCTGGAAACCGTGCTGATGATTCAGTTGCAGATGACGGTACAAGTCCTGCTGCTTCTCATCAAGTTTTACTAAAATGTCCTGCTATGGACACGCACATTTATCCTCAGGCAGGCACTGAGGTTATTTCTACTTGCCAACAGGTCAAAGAAAATGAGCAAGTTGAGCTTAAAGTTGAAAAGTTGCCTCCCCAGCCTGCTGGGCTGAAGCATAGTGAGGTGAAGCCTAGCAACAAGGACCCTTTCCAAGCTGATAAAGGATCAGTTCTCCCAGCCTATCAGTTTGATGGAAAATCCTGCAGTAATATTCCTCAGATCAGTCAGACAGACTGTGGTGACCCCCAACTGTCCGCGGCACAGTCTACATTTGAAAGGCCAAGTAAGGAGGGAACACCACGCAGCCGCTCCCGTGTGGTCTCAGTACAAGTAAAGAGCGAGTGTATCAGGCTGCCAGATGGAGGAGCCCCCAGTGCCTCATCTCGCCTCTCAGACTCAGGCATTGAAAGTGAACCCAGCTCATTTGCCACTCAACTAGTTGTAGGACCACATACCTTTGCGGGGTCAAGCGTAACAGAGTGGATGGTCACTGCCCCACAGGCTGAGAGGGCCCCGCAGAGTCCTGCTCCATGGCCTGCCCAGCACAGCCCGCTTCAAAAGCCCAGTGGCACAGGAGAATATCTGTTTCCGGAAAATACAAGTACTGTGAGTGGAGTCCAGTCTTCTCTCACTTCCATCAACTCTCTGCCCTCAGATGATGATGAGGCAGAAGGTTCCTCTAAGGGCTCCAGCGAAGCTGATGGGCGACCAGGCCGGAAGTCCAGTGTCTTGGTGCAAGAGCAGAGTGTGGTTTTCTCTGGTGATATCACAAAAAAACGACCTGATGTGACCTCCAACCCTGACACTGGTACAGGAGATGACCATCTGAGAAAACCTGCATCTGACCTGGAAATAGACTCCAAATTAACAGGCACTTCTCAGGTTGGCCTGGAGGAAGCAGGAGGCCCTGGGACCAGTAAAGAATCCCATGGCGAATCCCATACAACCTGCCCCTCCAGCAACTCTGCCACTAGTAGCACTGACCTGGTAAAACGCGGGATGGTCGAGAACTACTTTGGCTCACGTTCGAGCACAGATGTGTCTGAGATCAGCCCTATTGAAACATCTGCCATCACATTGGGACTCCAGGCAGGTGCACAGGTTGAGGAGGATGAAGATGAGACGGAACATGAGATGATTGAAAATGGATACTATGAGGAAGGGGATGGCTATGCTTTTGTAAATGGTGTTGCGGATGACGAGCAACCTGTGGCGGGAGATTCAGCTGCTCAAGATACAAGCCTGCTGTTTGAACACCTTGGCATTGGATACCTGCATGGAACAAAGGACTTATCAAAAGCTCCGTTATGCTCTAATCTTGCATCCAGCAGTGTCGGTAATAGTTGGACAAGAACTTCCTATTCCTTCAGCTCCTTATCATCCAGCCTGCATTGGTATGAATGTGCACCAACACCACAGATGAAAGCGTGAGTCATCATCCCAGCTTTGTTTTTTCAGCAAATAGTACTTAACATTTTATATAATGCGCATACAGCAGATTCAAATTTATTAACACATTTCATTATGAATGTACAGGTTCATCAAGGCCAAGGAAGAAATGAAGCAACTAAGGCTCCCCGGTTTTTTGTACAGCGAGGTTCCTGAGCTCGCATCCACTGTGCCCTATTTTAGCTTAGAGGAAGATGACGGCTGTGAAGAAGGCATCCACCTTATAGTGTGTGTTCATGGCCTGGATGGTAAGAGTCGCCACCACTATGTTTAGGCTTCCTTAACAGTAGACTTGTTCCTTTTCAATGCTTTTGCTTTGTATTCAAAAGCATGTGGTTGCATGTTTTTTCCCTGTGTTGCTGCAGGTAACAGTGCAGACCTGAGACTGGTGAAGACTTACCTGGAGCTTGGGCTTCCTGGTGCTCGTTTAGACTTCCTAATGTCTGAGAGGAATCAGGTTAAATTAATTTATCCTAGGCCACTGAGCATGCCTGTCATGAGTTCAAAAAACAATAGTCAATTTAACACTCTTTTCTTCTGCAGAATGACACCTTTGCTGACTTTGAGTCTATGACCGACAGACTGCTGGATGAAATAGTTCAGTACATTCAGATATACAATCTCACTGTGTCAAAGATAAGGTAATATGTTTTATGATGTTATAGCATAAGAATATCTGAAAAATAATAAAAAGAACACCATGTGTCATGTGCAGAATCAAGTAGCTGCAAGAAGAAGCAAAGTGTCTTTTGACTGTTATGTATGAGGACATGTTGTACAGGTTTAGGAAAGACAGCAGTATGTTCTGATTGTTCGACCGCATACGAACTGAGCTTAAGCAAATATTATGATCTGGACCACTAAACAAGGGCTGAAGATGATTTACCGAATATCAAATACTTATGCAATGTCTTTTGATCCTTAATTTTGATGCACAGCTTTGTGGGTCATTCCCTGGGGAACCTCATAGTTCGCTCGGTGCTGACCAGGCCCAGATTTAAATGCTATCTGAGCAAGCTGCACACGTTCCTTTCACTCTCTGGACCTCATTTGGGCACTCTGTACAACAGCTCAGCTCTTGTCAACACAGGTGAATGTCAAAAACCTTGGGATGCAAGTTTTAATTTCATACTATAGCACCACGAAAAATTCTGTCCGAGAAGTGTAAAGCTTTTAAACTTTGTTCCCAGGCCTTTGGTTCATGCAGAAGTGGAAAAAGTCTGGATCCCTTCTGCAGCTGACATGCCGCGATCACTCAGATCCTCGCCAAACTTTCCTGTACAAACTCAGCAAGAAATCGGGTTAGCTTTGCTCTTTCAATTTTCTAATGAGTAAAAGCCCCGTTTATGATTGTTTTAACACTAAAGTATAAGACGCATAACACTCCTAATTATCTGCCTTTAAAGGTTTACAATATTTCAAGAATGTGGTGCTGGTGGGGTCGCTTCAGGATCGCTATGTGCCCTATCATTCTGCCCGGATAGAGATGTGTAAAACTGCATTGAAGGACAAACAAACAGGTGAGCTAAAGCACAATCAAAGGTGAGGCTTTGGTAACGATGAGCCAAGATAAAATCACTTGATTTAAATGCTGATTCTTTGTTAAATCACAATAGAATATTTTCACTGCTTGTTCATGCTACTCTTTTTCATTTCACAGAAAGACAAAACTGTATACTACAATGCCTCTGAAAGTTGACTTCCCCTGTATGACCTGCGTGTCTTTTGTTTACCAGGAACGGTTTATGCTGAGATGATTGAGAACCTGCTGCTGCCAGTACTTCAGAACAAAGACTGCAATCTTGTACGATATGATGTCATTCACGCCCTGCCCAACACAGCCAACTCCCTTATTGGCCGGGCAGCCCACATTGCCGTCCTTGATTCTGAGATCTTCCTGGAGAAGTTCTTCCTTGTTGTAGGGCTCAAGTTCTTTCAGTAGAGCTGCATCAGAATGAAACACATGGGGGGACAGTAGGAATGTGGCCCTCATACCTCACTACAACTCAACCTTATTTTGATGGTGACATCTTGATTATCTTCTCTTTTATGAATACACATACCTTTCAAATATATTTGAACAAATTCATTTTTGTTTTGCGTCTGTATTGGAATCAGTGGGTTTGGAGTTGACCATGTTTATTTTTCTACTACCATTTTTTTAACATTGTTTTCTGTGTTTGGGAAAGTTTTCATTGTCATGCAGTATATTTTCTGATTATTTATGTGTTATGTTTTCTTTTTAAATATTTTACTCCGAAGTTATTCAAGACATTTTAGATGCTGAACTGGAAATCTAGCTGCTACTAAAAAGGAAATGGCTGTTTGTGTTGAGCTGGCCCAAGTTGTCTGCACATGTGTTTTCCACCAATTTTAAGAGACACTGCATTGATTTGCACCACAACTACATTTTACAAACTTTTGTACTGAAGATGGTCATTTGTACAGGTTACTTTTTTATCAACAATTTTCCATCATTTTTTAGGGCAAAGACTGCATTTGAAATAGGATTGTTGCTCAGATTTTGCATCTTTGGCTTTGGTCTTAATACTTGACGTTTTTCCTTGCCATTGCAGCATTCTGCATATATACCCAGCCTGGTGTTGGGAACGTAAAGCTTTGCCTAAAACATGATGACATTTTATTACAAGGGTTCTAAGCAATGATTATTATTCAGCAAAAGCACATGTTGGTTATAGGAACTTATCTTATTGAAAGTAATTGTTTGAACATTTGGTGACTATTTATGTTTAAACTGGAAAGTATTGGTTTGAATTCAGATTTTTTTTCTTGAACTGTTTGTTTATAGCATCATACGCTACGATTAAATATGCATATCATGAGTAGGTTATATTTCTCTTTCGCATGTGTTTATTTCAGGATTTTGGAGACTTGTCATAATTTGTTGAGTTATTGAACTGTGCGCACACACGTGCATTCTAAAGTAATGCTACAATGCTTGTGAATACAATCTCTTCTTGACTTAAGTTAAGAAAGGTGCCTGTGTTTCTTTTACCTTGCACAAGAAAAACATTATTACGAACAATCTCATATTTCAACGTTTTTATTTTATTATTTTTACTTTCCATTTGCATGTTTTTTGGATGAAAGACTTAACATTAATTTTGACTTATGGTTTCAATGTACTAATTTTCAGTGATATTGGATTTATTTTTTTAGAGATTTGCTTTGGCTATGGGTCCAGTAAGCCTGTGGGTATCTGTGCTGTCACAGGTTGGAATTGCAGACACTGGTCAGCGACTGAACCGCCATGCAGGAAGGGGACGTAGCGTTTTCATGAAAAGCCACAATAGTATATTACGTTAAAAATATTACATCGATTAAAAGAATATTCTACTGATCTTTGAATGATTTTCTGTGTGTTTTACGCGGTTTAACTCCACAAAGTACACAACTACATAACATAAAACTGATACTTAAACTTGATATTCTTTACCAGTTCAATAATTTTGAGCAGTATACAAAACCCAGAAGCGAATCTCTTAAGCAGATATTATAGAAAGGTAATTGTATACCTCCAAGACAGATATGCATTTCTATGTCTCTCAGTCTTTTTTTTATTTTTAGAATTGGTGTTGACAATTTTTTGCGTCTTTCGTTCGCACTCAAACGTCCCAACTGAATCGCTTCCATCAAGTTTAACCCACTACTGAGACGAAAGGGAAGATAAGCTCTGTCAAGTAATAATTAAACTTATAACTTTTTATGGATTGAGCATATTTGAATGAATCTACTGTCGATGCTACAAGATATAAACAGTTCAGCAAGACGAATTAGGAATTTAAATTCCCTACATTACTCACATTGCACCCCCACAATAATTGCAGGTGGTATGATCCAATCCGCCACAGGGATGGTTGTAACGAAGAACTACAACAGAATGGGGCGGTGAAGACTTACGGTCCCGACTACACGGCGTTACGTTTTTACGCAGATAAAAAAAGAATAACAAAGTACTGGAACCACATGCAACTGAAAATTGAGTTCTCTCCCCTCTGTCACCGTGATAGTAAGTAATTAACGCTTAATTTCTCTCAGAATTGATGGCGTTGCACTTGTTGCACCTTTAACATTGTTACCCCATCCGAGCAGAGGCATTTTAATTTCAGAAATGAGCGGAGAACCAGTATGACCTCTTGTTCTCGTCTTCTTTTCGATTGCTCTCTTAAAAACCTCGATTTTCTGCGAGTAACTTTGGCGTAAGTTGCGGTTGTTAGTTTACAGAATACGGTTAGGTTGTCTAAAAGTGTTGGCTGAAACGTGCTTCGCGTCCACAAAACGCCTGGCTCTGTGCGTGTTTAAGCTTGATTGCCTGTTAGTCAGACCGCTCCAACAAAACCAACAATTTGGCAGGTCCCCCCTATTAGTTTAAGGTGGGATGAGTGAACACGGTGTTCCTCTATTTATGCTAATCCGCTCCCGTGTGTGTGTGTGTATTTTTTTTCTGGTGATTTCGTGTGGTTGTAAATGTTTGCAAAGATACCTCTTAGTTCCGAGTGCTCGCACATTGCATTGAGGGGATGCTGTTTTCCTCCAGCCAGCAGTGTGTTCAGAAGTAGGGATTATAACTGTCTTGAAGGGGAATTAAAGCATACAGATGGCTGCTCTCATGTGATGCCAGGTTTCCTCTCGTCAGCACCTGGCAGTTGTACGACGATGTCTACAAACACATCGGTTTAATATGAAGCTTTAGTTGTTCAAGCACGTGCATGAAGAGAACTGTAAGCTCAAACGTTAAAAAAAAGAATAACATTCATGCTATCTGTTTTCGATGTGATTGAGTTTGAGTTATTGGGTCTTGTTTATAAAGCCTCAGAGGTGAAGTGCACTCTAGTACTGTGTATCATAAGTTTCCTCTGATGGTGAAGTCTGTGATTCAAAGTTAAGTTAAGCTACTTTCAATGTCTGGTGGTGTTATTGGCTGTGAAGCTCACAATATGGAATATTGACTGGGCAGGAGAACAGCAATATAAACGTGGACAGGATCTGTGCTTTAAAATGAGACCACAGTGACAAGTTCAGAACAGTTTTGTACCATCTGCCTTTGTTGAGTTAAAGTTCAGCAGGGTTGCCTCACACCTAAGTCAGATGTTCATACCACTGGATTTACAAGTTTTTTTAATGTCTCTCTGCACTGACACCCATTTTGCTGTGAGGCTGTGTTTGAACATGTCCATTACTCATATTCTGTAGGACAATTTAGGCCTGCAACACTTTTAAAGTTCCCACGGCTTGTTTTCGCTCACTGGCAGTGCCTCTTTGTATTCTTATTATTTTTTATTCTTGGGATTTATTTCACGAGAGAAGTCACTCGTTTCTCCAGCTCTGAATGCGTTTAAACATGTTTTCCCCTTTTACCAATGCTTGACTCCTGAAAGGGTTAGTTGTGAAACGACGCAGTTGTAATCAGAAAAAAGGCATTGCCTCCGAAGGTGTAAAACTGCATTATTTTGTGGGCTGTTTTAGTAAAAGCGATACAGCTTTTAGGAAGAGGCAGTTTTAAGAGCAACCTGCCTCAGACGGTGATCAGTCCTTCCTTTGTAGTCTTTATACCAGGGTTTTTTTTGCCCAGGGTGGGATTTTGGGGGATCAGCGTCGATGCCGGCAGTAATTAACCTGATTAATTGATTCTTAGACGTTAATCAGATGAGCTTTGTACCAGTTGGGGCTTTGGGTCAGCCTAACAGGGCAAGATTGAGGTGAATCTTGGTTGTTTACAGAGTGACCTCTGAGATAGAGCCGTTTATGTTGGTGTTAACACTTCATTACATTATTATATGCAGCTATAGTGTTTTGAGGATCCATTGGTGTGTAAGGCAGAATAACATGAGCTGTTTATGTGTGTTTGTTTTTATGAGGTTTGAAATGCATCTTTTTCTTAAAGGAGAACAGAAATTAATGATTTGTCATTAAAGTCATCATGGATAGGCCATGTTGAGTTAATCCTGGTTGTTGGTTAGTGGATTATTGTTTCAGAGAGCTTTTGTTTTTGCATTGACTGACTGACAATTCATAGATAACAGCAGTAGCAGTAATGTGAAAAATAGATTGTTTGGTGACACATCACACTCATGTGGATTTTTATCTGTTTTCTATTTATTTAACTGAGATATCCTCTTTTATCGTTGTATCACATTCTGTCTTTTCAGATGCAGTATGGATGTTCTGTCCTGGAACAAATGAAAAGTAAAGGATAGAGGGAGAAATCAAAACACAGAGGCAGTTTGACGACGTATGATTTAGGTCAGACATTTGTGAGACATGATGTCTGCCAAGCAGGAACGAACTATTTGTGTTCTGCTTCCCAACAAAGAGCAGCTGGACATCACTGTCGAGGTGGGTATTTATTCTCTCCATGAGTGTGTGGTTGAGGATCCGCTTTATCATTGCAGTGATATGCTCTTAATTACATTGTAAATAGATATTTAATGCAGGTTTGTTTTCTCCCCCTCCAGGTCAAGTCCACAGGCCAGGACGTCTTTAATCGTGTAGCGGAGCTTCTTGGAATCAAAGAGTTACACTTCTTTGGCCTCACAGTTGTGAGAGGTAAATCCACTCCTCATTGACCCGTCAGCCTTTGAACCTGAGAGGACTCCGTACATTACAGAGGTCAAATGCAGCAGATAGCCTTCCAGTGATGATTGTAAATAGAAAGTACCTAATTTCTGCTGTCTAATAGTTTTATTGTAAACAAGGAGCATTTTTGCAGAATGACAAAACATTTTGTGTAGTTGCGCGTGTTTGTGCGTTATTTTCTACCATTAGGCCATCCTACTAAAACAGAAAATAGCGTTCAGTCCTGCCAGCCTAATTGAATGGTGTAATCCACTTTAGCCACCGAGCAAAGTCCTGAACTTTCCGTTTCTAGCATTTGTGTTTTACAAATGCTTTGAAATGCCTCGGTAAGCTTGTGTGGCTCACTACTTGAACAAACAGCCTTTTGTTTTTGTGGTGTTGGTTCAGCGATCACTTGGGCCTGGATTTCAGCAATATTAACTTCATTAAGCCTGGAATGCACCAACGCATTCCTCTGCCTCACTGAGGAGGGATGGGTTGATGATGGGAAGAGGAGGGTGGGAGGAGAGGTGAAAGAGGTAGAAGGGGACTTACCATGACACAGGCTGACTGACTCAACTTTTACTCAAAGCCAAAGGCCTCGGTGAAGGATGAGAATTGGGGGAGTTGGAGTGAGTAAGAGGGAGAATGAGATGGTTCTTGGGAGGAGATGGATGGTTTAAAAAGGTTGTTGCAAAACAATTAGCTAAGCGGGATTTGGCAACACACAGTTCAACAAAAGTGATAAAGTGGATGAAATGGAGAATGCCTATGTCCTGACTCACAGAGACAGGCAGACTGTGGCACCATATCCCTGTAATCAGGGCAGGTTGTAAGCCGAATATTACACCCACTGGTGAGAGGAATCATGCAATCCTTTTTTCTAATACAGAAAAAAAAAACTTAAAATCTTCCAGGTTTTGTGAGTGGTGAGATGCTGATTGTATACATCTTTCACTCAGTGTTTGGTAGAATAATTAGAAAATGGCCATACGAACCCTATCCTTTTGGACACAGCTTTCTGGTCGCCTCATTTACAAATGGAAGAACAAGGACTTTTTTCTTTAACCCTAATGAACCCTATTGTTGGGCCCATTTAACGCTTGGCTACATTATTGTTTTGTGTGGGTACTTTCTCCTTGTTTCCTGATTGTCTTTTTTTCCTTCCCAGACAATGAGCACATATTTTTAGACATGGAGGAGAAATTGACTAAGTACTTTCCTAAGGAGTGGAAGCAGGACTCTGGAAAGGTAAAGCAGTCGTTTGCAACAGGCTTCATTGATGTCAGTGATGGGGTTTTTAATTTTTGATCCTGTATAAACATACATTAAATTTGTCAGTTAATTGGGAGGTGCAATGACCTAAATACTACCAAAGCTAACGTATACAGGCCTGTTGTGACACGCCTCTTTCCACAGGGATCACTCAAGAGACATTTTCCTCTTCTACTCTGCTTAAAAGCCCAATACTATGTGGAGAATGGAAGACTGATAGGGTACGGATATATGAACTAATTTTCACTGTTGGCATCTTTTTTTTTTTTTTCATTGCTTTTCACATTTTTATTTTCCATTAACTTCATGCTGACATGTGATTTTTTTGGGGGGATTTTCGTATGTTTGTGTGGTACCAGTGAGAGAAAGGCACGGCAGCTCTACTACTCCGACTTGCGAGAGCGAGTGCTGCGCTCCGAGTGTCGTCAGCAGGAGGAGGTTTACTTTCAGCTGGCTGGTTACGCGCTGCAGGCTGACCTCGGTGATCACCCGCTGCCGGGGGAGGGCCACCAGGTCAACCCTTATTTTGAACCCAAGGACTACTTCCCACCATGGGTCAGTGCTAGTATGTGGCAGCAATGCTCAAAAAGCACATCTGATCAACATTCTGAGCTCTCTGAGAAGCTAAGTCACAGGTCTGTCCTTTCTTCCTTCTGCAGATCGTAGCTAAGCGGGGGGTGGACTATCTGCTCTGCCATGGGCCCAAGGTCCACCAGGAGCTGTGGGGCATGTCTGCCCGGGATGCCATCCTCTGCTTCATAAGAGACTCGTGTCAGCTGGAGGATGTACCAGTCATATTTTACAGACTGCAAAAGGTAACGAGTTTCTTAACCATTAAGTCATACGTCCAACTTAGCTATTTGAATTAAGTCTTTTTTAAGCAGTATACTTATATCTGTTAATAGTCTGGTGGATAGTTGATGCTTTTATTTAATGAAGTCCTTGAGAGCTTCTTTCCAGTCGTACTCAAATGGAGTAAAAAGTGAAGCACACTTACACACTTAAGTTTAGCTTAAATTAAGCTGTGCTGAACAAATGGGTAAACGGCTGTTATGTAATCCTCTCTCTATCCTTCCTGTGCATTTTACTCCCTTTGCAGAATAACTAATTTACTGATAGATATTTTGAAGGCTAGCCCATGCATAGAGTGATATGCTATCACTTCAGATTTGTTTTTTTTCAACAGCTCGATGTTCCCCAGTGAACTAAGGGGGAGGTTAAACTGTGAAACGGCTATCTTATCTGAGCCACTCAGATGCCTGTTTGACATCTCATTATTCGTTTGTCCAGGACAAAAAGGAGGAGAAAGGAACAGCGTTGCTCGGTCTGACCCTGCAAGGAATGCAAGTTTATCAGGTGTGTGTTTTTAATGCAGCGTATGTATGACAGCACATGTTTACACAAAAGTAAATCTGTGTCCACACAGAAGTTCCGTCTCTGTATCTGTAGCCCTAATAAAACCTCTGACTATCCAGGCAAGGAATGTGTGGGATTGGCACTAACAGCAATCCCTCAGGAGATATCTGCCTGTCAGTTGTTTGATGTGTCCATCAGGATCCTTATGGGGGTGGGGTGGGATTAGCACACCAAGCCTGTCAGATTTAAAGACCAATAGACCGTGAGATGTCTCAAGAAGGCCTTGGCCTCCTCTAAATCCAGCCGGCTCCCAAAAACAATTGATTATTGGTCTTCTGTCTTTGAATGCTCTTTAATCTGTTAATTAAAAGCCTGTTTTTTTAATTTTTATTTTATAGGAGGTGAACAACACACGGCAGCTGTTATATGACTTCCCTTGGTCAAATGTTGGACGTCTAACCTTCCTGGTATGGAAACTGTCATTTGCTCCCTTCTATTCCTTGCAGAGATTAAGTTGAATCCTGGTAATTATGTATTGGCCATTTTATATTTTTTAAGGGTAAGAAATTTGAGATCCAGCCAGATGGCTTGCCATCAGCCAGGAAGCTGGTTTACTTCACTGGGTCATCATTTCGCTCCCGCCACCTCCTCTTGCACCTGAGCAGCAGCCATCAGCTCTACCTCAGTATCCAGCCGGCTCTTAAACACCTTCGCCAGCTGGAGGAAAGCAAAGGTAGGAAAAGGAGGAAGTGTTGTTGTGATTGTTACAGTTTGGCTGCGGGGCTACTGTACTTAGTAGAATACCTGAAAGCTTCTCAGGAAATATCAGTTCTTTCACAACAGGTTTCCACACCTGGCAGTTTCCAGTTGAACCAGTTTTCTGGTCACGTACAAATATATATATATATATATATTATATAGAAATATGAGGCATTTCAAACCAGCTTCTCATGAATTAAACTGATTTCTGTAGATCATTCTTATTCTGTTTTTAAATGTTTATTTAATGCAACTCCAGAGTGATGTCACACATTGACACACACGCAGAATAGTTATTTACTCATCTAGCCTCTTCAATTTTTGTGGTCTCAATCAATCTGGAAGTTAGTAGAAACTACTTTTTGTAAAGTTTAACAATATTTCAACATTAACATTGCGAAAAGCTAGGTTGAAGCTTGCAAATGAGGATTTGACCATTTTCTTCTCGATTTACTGTTGTGTGTTTTCTGTTTAATGCTCCTAGTCTGTTTTTTTCCTGTTAGTTCTGAACTGTAATTGCAGGTATTCATTCTTTCTTTATACAAAAAGATAGGCATTGGGTTCATGGAACAAAGCTGTCAAAAATAAAAATGAATAACTGAGTGTTTCTAAGCTACATTTGTTATTAACAACATAGTAGTCACTTAATTTCTTTTTCATTTTAGAGAAGAAGTGTTACAGGGAGTCATACATTAGTGACGATCTGGATATGGACCCACCGGGCAGTGAAAGCAGCCCTGGTCTGTCCAGGCACTCCACCAGCAGCTCTGGCATCGAAGCAGATGCACGTCAGCACAGCATCTACACAGAAATTACCTCCATGGAGGAGCGGCCAGAAGAAAAGTGTTTGAGCTCAGCAACCAGCCAAGACAGCGCATGCACCTCTGGGTTCGACACAGGCAGCAAGGCTCGAATGGAAAACAACTCATGGGAAGAAGACGGTATGTGGAGATTTACTCTAAAAGATTTTGAAAAACAAGTTTTTGATTGATTTTCTCCTGTCCTTGCACGTTTTTTATTTGCTTGAACAATTTCAGTAGTGTAATTAATTATAAAATATGGCGATTTATTCAATTATAAATGAGACGCAGGGCCTGTTTTTCTAGGAGTCAAGACTGATGTTGACCGTCCAAAGGAGTTACTTGTTGATGATCCTGAGATGTTCCAGTTAGCTGATCTTCTGGAAGGCGTGTCAGTGGATTGTGCAGAACTCTCCTCAGAGTCTTACTCAACAGGTATGATTAATGTTTCTGAACTTACCCAACTCCTCCAGGAAAACATTTCATTCTGAAACTATATGCTGACCACTAAAATCTCATGTACTCCACAGAAAACAGTCGTCTGCCAGTAGGTGATAAAGATGCTGGAAATTTGGACAAAACAGTGAAACAGGTAACATTTTCTTTCCCTTTATGATATTGTTTGCCTCCATTCTGATATCTTGGTTGCATCACCTTCATAATTCTCCTCTGTTTACAATCTAGATACTGGAATCCAGTGCACAGGTTTGTGTGGATCGGCACAGCCACAGTCTGGATGATGTCCGTCTCATCCCAAGTCCTGCACCTCTTAAGATGGTGATACCACCTGATTCCTTTCACAGCTACACTTTTGGGGTCCCAGATGCTACAACAAACACAAAGACTTCTAATGATCACAGTTATTATCCCCGAGTAAACTGTGAATCAAAACCTTCTTTCTATGGCCGCAGGTCTACCAACTGCCTCTCTCTGGACATGTTGGGTGATGATCAGTTCCTGGAATACATACTCTAAGCATATGAACACTGATGCCTGCTTGTTTTACAGCGCAACTTGATACGAAAGTTGCTATAAAACATGAATGTTTTGCATTTTCTGTGACAAAGTATGTGAGGTCTACACATTGCATACCTTGAAAATGGCAGAAACCCTGCTTGCCTCCCCCCAAAGCTGTGGATAAGATAGCAGACATACTTAAGCAACGTTTCACAACAGTAAAGAGAGCATATTTATTAATGCTGTATATTGTGTACATATTACTTGGACTGTTTTATAGAATTTCAAGTTCTCTGAACAAAAGCCTGTCTTGTCAAGTTGCTTTTTTTTTGTTTCTAAGATTCTATGAAATTTCTCAAAAAACTAATGTGAATTGCATACATTTAAACACTATTACATATTTTGACATTTTATTCAATGCAGTGCTGTGCTGGATTGTTTTTATAAGATGTGACTCACCTTTTGTTTTTTGTATTTTTTACTGGTCTTTTTTTACAAGCAGGTTTCTGTGTTTTATCTCCGTCTCCAAAAGCCATGGGGCTGATTATTGTCCTCCCGTAGGCTACACCCTTCTTTATTAATCCTGTGACTGCCTCTTTTTAAGACAAGGTTTTATAATATATAATTTTGTTTTGTGGGATCCATCATGCTTTTCCAAACTTTCCTTCTTCTCTTTAACTACGATGAGGGAAACTTCAACCTTTTACAGCCAGCAATTAATCTATCCAAAGCTTTCTCATTCTATACTAACATCTCTTGTAACTGCAAGAGAAAAGTATTCATTGTGGAGTGCTATCCCTGTAATCTGTGAGTGTTTAATGGATCTGCAGTATTTTTTTTATTATGTAACCCTTGAACAAAAAATCTTGTCATTTTTTTAGTCTGAAACAATATCTGTTTTGTATTTGACAATTGGTATAAATAAGTATTTTTGGAAAAACGTTTACTCGGTGCCAATTATTTGTAAACAATATTAATAAATTACTTTCTCTAATACAGTATTTTGTTATTTTTTTTCTTAATAATAAAAATAAAATTGAAATCACAGAGAATTCATTTACAGAAAGGATATTTTCGTGATCCACAACTTTCGCAAGCTGTCCCAATGCCTGCTCACGCAACATCTCGCGAGAGTTTGAAATGACGTTTGCGGAAGTTTACATTCTGCTACATGACAACGTGTTTGTTGAAGGCAAGCCGGCGGCTAATGGGTATGTGTTTTCTTGCCTGATCCTGGCAGCGTAAACTGAGCAGAATGAGTTCGGTATTAATTAACGCAGTATTGTCCAGCTCTCCTGACTACGACCTTTTGTTTGAATCTCTGTCCTGGCCGAGCGAATCCTGGCCACAGACTGAGCGAGTGGAGGCACTGACAGTCCTCGTAGAGGGACTCGGACCGCTCCTGAGAGACACGGACTCGAGTTCTTTAACAGACGGAAAGACACGATGTATTAAAGAAAAAATCGAGTCTCTCATTTGGAAGAAATGTCTCCCGTCCTTCTCCAGCCTGTCGACAGAGGCAGAGGGGGGTGCTCGCTGCAGGGAGACCACCGGCGCGCTCTGCAGACTTCTGAGTGCCTGCCTGGCTCTGTGCGACCAAGCTGTTTGCAGGCGAGCCGCGTTGTCCACTTTGCAGTCCTTCCAAACGCCAGAGGAAGACCTGCCGGGTCCGGGGCGGCTTAATCTGGAGGTTGCCACCGAAGTCATAGCAGCCCTTATTCCTTATTTCTCAGCGGATCAGCAGCTCATCCACGACACCTTATCGTCCGCCCTGTGCTCCGTCAGGTCCCTCCCCGACGCAGGGGCCTCCAAAATCATTGTCAGGGTTCTTTTGACACTTCTAAACTGCTGCAGCGGCGACATATGGGACGGTGTCCTGCTGTCCATTCTGGAGGATCTGTGCGGCTGGCACTCCGCTACCCGCACAGCTGCGGTCACCGAGCGGACGGTGCTGTGTTTGACCGCCCTATCAGACCACCTCCTGGATCCGCACTGCCCTCCCTCCTCCAGCCTCCGTAGGCCGGACCCCCGTTTGTGTCCTCAGTTCTGGAGGATCCTTCAGGACGGACTGACCCACAGAGACGGCGTGTCCCGTAAGAGGGCCCTGTTCCTGCTCAAAAGATGTGCGGCCCGGTCAGAGGAGGAGGGCAAAGACTCTCCCTCTGCAGCCGCTGCAGGTAAAAGGGTCTGATGGCCTTGATTATATTAGCCTTCACTGACCTTTGGCTGCCTGTAAGTCTCCTTGACATCTCTACAGATGAGCTGCTGTTTAAATGGGACCCAAACAAGAGCAAGGCGCTTAAAGAGTTTTGGGAGGATTACGCTCTGGTGATGGAGACGCTGGAGGAAAACCAGGTGGGCAACCCCCACAAGTGTTGCATCGCTTCTGTTTTGGGATGTATCATGATCCAGCTTTGCTTTTTTCCCCCCCCTTTGCAGATTCATGTTGTTCGGCCAGTTTTAAACAGAATAGACATGCTGATCCAAACAACTGCCGATAATAGCCACGGTAAAACTAACATGTAAAGTCGACAAGGATACATATGCAATCGCTGGAGTGTTTCTGTCCTCTGAACCTCTCCATTTGCGTTTTGGTTTCAGGTCAAGGCCTCTTCCACCCCTCATGGCTGCTGTGTGTTTACCAGCGCATGTTCCACAGCGAGAACAAATCCCTAATGAGGGAAGGGGTGTGTCATTTGCTGGAGCTGCAGGTCCTCCAGCAGTCAGCCTTTGCATTGGCTTTTTCCCAGGTATTTATTTCTTTATTCCAAACAGGATCCACAGTCACTTGTTATGTTTTGAGTTCCTTTTACTGTCTCACTTTAAAGTTCATTGTCGGGCCCTTTTTGGATGTTCTTTCTGAAACTTCACTCTACCACAGGTGAGGATTTAAAGCCGTTTGCCTGCAGAAATAGTACTACAGGTACAATAGGCTGCAGACTAGCAGTAGTTAATAGGTCTTCTTTGTACTTGCAGGTCAGCTGGGCAGAGTGTTGGCGACTGTCCAGAGCTGGCATTGAAACTCCACGCCTTCATGACCACCTTCTTCAGCAGCCTGCCCGAAGAAAACCGAGGTACAGGGAGCACAAATCCGCCGCTTCCATTTCTGGATTGAATTGCATGTTCAAATCTGGCCTTTTGTCTCTGGTAGGCCGTGTGTTGGTTCAGCTCATTCAGCAGCTCGGCTCCAAGCACTGGTGTGCAGTTCCCCTCCTCTTCGTGTGTCAGGCTCTGTCCACACTTCCCCGATGTCCACTGCTCGGCCTCGGCTGGCTGAGCGCCTTAAGGTACACCGCCGTGTTTCCATCTAGACGGAACACGTGAGAGGTGTTTTTGCTCAATGGTGAGAGGGACTTTGGGTGGTTTGCTTTGCAGAGAGGTGTTGCGCTGCACCATGATCACTCACCAGGTGCTGCTGAGAGGCGCTGCCCAGTGCTTCTTGCTAAGCAGCACCCTGCATCTCACAGAGCTGGTAGGATGGTGACACATTTCCATTTTTCAATTTGATGTTACTTGTATTTCATGTGTTACTGTTTCTTTTTGTGGTGGTCTTCTTATAACAATGCTTAAACAATACATTTGTTTAATACCTCTGACAATTTCTACAAGAAGTCACTGTAAGATCGTTTCTGTCTGCATTTTGAACCTCTTTCAGTTGCTTTTCCTGAATATACAGCAGTAGAGGTGTAGAATTATTATATCCTATTTGATTTCCTTTCAGAGTGAAGTCACGCTGGATGATGTTTTTAGTTTCCTGATGCATTTCCGTGCTGATGAGTCGCTTTGTAGAGGCACAGAGCTCTGGCAGCAGGTGCGCTGACCCACAGACACACGTGATGGCTCAGTCAGAGCAGAACTAATTCCTACCTTACGTGTTTGTGGCAGTTGTGTGCCTGGCTAACAGAGCATGAAGGTGGTTTCAAGTCCACGATCATGGATGGAAATTCCTCTGATGCTTCCAAAAAGAAGGAAACCATCAGAGCTTACGTTGAAAAGGAGATGCAGTCCTATTTCCGGGTTCCAGCTAGCACAGGTAAGTCGTGTGTGAAATCAGACTAGAGGAAGATAATTCTTGCGTCTTCAGATGTAATTGTTCTCACACAATACTTACGAGTCAGTTTTCCTGTCCCCTTCAGGTCAGATTGAAAAGTTACCCGACCCTAGAGAGGCCGATAAACTATCGAGGGCCATTCTGCTGTGTGTGGACATGGAGAGGAATCGAGCGGAAGCCGATATCAATAAAACTCTGGAGTCGCTGCTGTCCCCTCTGCTGGACACTTTGAGCCGACTCAGCACCAACTTGTACATGCCTCTGCGCAAGAGTGACAGGAGCCTGCAGCTGCTGCTCAGACTGCTGCAGCTCGGAGAGGGGCCTCTGTGTCAGCCCCCCAGAGCAGAGGAAGGTTTGGAACAGTCCCTTGATTAACAGAATAAATTAAGTGAACTTTATCTGTTTGTTTGATTGCCTTAAGGCCATGTTTTCTGACATTTTCTGAAACAAAAATGTACGTTTGAATTTTAATGCAATGAAAAAGCCCAAAACAACCAGTGATTCTCTCCCTAGAAAAAGGACGGATCTTGATTTTTTCAGCATTGCCACCATGTCTCTCAAAGACTGATTTGATACACAAAAAACACTCTAAACCATTTAAACCAATCAGCTGACAAATGAGACCACAATAGTGACCGGTGCTAGAATGAAGGGTTTAAGACAGCTGGAGTATGGACAGAAAATCGTTTTTTGCTTATTAAAAACAGCTAAACATAGTGGAATCAACTCCAACAATCTCCTTGTGAACCTCTGTGAAATGTGCATATTTTGGGCTTTTATTATTTTGGCCATATTTCCATCCTCCATGTACACACAGTGAGTGGTTGTGGAGTCCTCACTGCTCTTCTTACTTGCTGTTTCACAGGGGATCATGTCATGGTTGCCATAAAGAGAATGTTTTTTAAAGTGGTTGATCCAATCCAAGAGTTTATCTTGTGGAGGCTGTGTGGGGAACTGCAGGAGGTAAACCAGTCAGTCACCGTCACCAGTCCGCTTTCAAAGATCCGCGTTGTGTTCACATCCAACCTCTGCGTGTGTTTTCTCCTTTACAGCTGTTTGACGTGGGCCGAGCAGAGCTCTATCTCAGCGTCCTGAAGCAGCTCCTGGTCACGTGCAGGTCTGCATCACAAATCTGCATTAATATTCAGCAGAATGGATTCCCTAAACTCATCCAACACAACCTCAAAGTACTGAAAGAGCCCAGCCAGCAGGTACCCCATTAAATATTCATGCTCCTGTCATCAGTTTGGCTCCGTGGCCATTCAGCACAGTTTGTTTCATCCATTGCCAGATTCCCTCAGTGAAAAACCAGGTGGCCAGAGCAGTGAGCATGGCCTCCCTGGCCGCTGTATGTGGCCTTATGGAGCAGGAATGGATCGTTATTCAGTCAGAGACTAAATCCGCTCTGAAATCTGCGAATGATTACTTCTACGTGCCAATGATATCCTCGCAATGTCAAGTTTCTTTCGGAAACATCAACAAACGCCTCACAAAACCGCAGCTAACAGATTGTCCAAGGTTAGTGGAAACGTTCGCAAAAGAGTGAAATAGTGATCAGCCTGTCAAAGTCAATCCTCATGCTCTCTTCTCTTTTTCACGCCAGTGATCTGGAAACGCAGAATGTGCTGCAGCGGGACTGGGGACGCATCGCTGCCAACTTTATGCGGGACCAGTGGATTTGTCTGAACTTCCTGATCAAGGCTGTCGGGACTCCCGAGTCAGGGGAGACTTCCAGGGCATCAGAGACTCTACCAGCTGCTCTGAGTCTCAGCATTGAGGCCCTGTCTCTGCTTCCCAGCGACCTGGTGCTGCCTGTGCTCTCCTTTATGGAGACAGTGCTGCCACAGGTATGGCGATTTTACACAGAAACACTGCGTCCAGCAGTTACGATAAAGGGTGTAGTTTTGACACTGACTTTTTTGGTTGTTTGTTTTGCTTTTTGTCCTGTTATTCCAGTTAGTTGACGACGAAACGGAGCTCTGTGTGCAGGCTGTGGCTCTGAGCTGGGAGCTGGTTCAGGGCCTAAGCACTAATGCCCATGACTTCTGGTTAGCTCTGAAAGGCTTCATCTCCATGTCTTTCCAGCACAAACTGCTCAGCCTGTCACACACTCAGGCCCCAACCCTCACGGCCACTCTGAAGCAGGTGATTCACACCAGGACCGTTGGTTTTGGAAAAGACAAAAGCAATCATTTGAACTGTTAAACAGGTCCATATGTACTGGTGTCAAATGCTTGTGTTTTAGATCACGGCAGAGTTGCTGGAGCTCTCGCAGACCAAGAGTGGCGTGTTCGGCGTGCTGCTTCAGCACTGCTGTCAGACGTGGCTGCCCACAGATCCAGTGGGTGGCCAACAGGCCGACACCGTCTTCTCCAGTGTTTTCAGCCACGTCAACATACTGGCGGAGGCTTGTGTCTATGGACCGGTGTTCAGGAGAGATCAACGGCAAGTCTACGCAGCACCTCTCAGATTTGCTGTTTTTGTCTGTCTGTTGTTCTAAGTGTTTTGTTTTTCTCCCACAGACTAGTCACAGATGTTCAAATCTATGTGGAGCAGCTTGGTGAAAAGTGTGCCGCTAACGTGGCAGTTGCAAGGTGACTAACAGTCCTTTTTTATGGAATTTGTTCATCTCTGTAACTCGAATGCTTTCCACTAGAGGTCTCTCTTGCTTTGTTGGTGCTTTCAAAGCTTGTAGTTTGGATGATTTCCTTGTTTCACAGTGACAACAGGGACGATCAGCTGCCCCGCACGTGTGCGGTGGCTTTCCTCAGTCGCCTTGATCCTTCTAATCCACAACATAAAAGGCTCATAGAGGAGCTGGTCGTGGAGTTGCTGAAAAGGGTAAGATGTTAAGAAGTGCATTGGGAAGTGTGAGAATAATTGTAAATACCACAGTCATAGCATTAATTTAAAACTCATTTTGTGGAAATTGTGCAGAGAGGTCATATTAAATGTTGAAATCACTATTTTTATTCTGTTTTTGAATATATAACCTCCCGATGAATGTGTTTGCAAAGTCATCTTGTAAAAGTTAAAGGAAACCATGTTAAAGGTCAAAAATTGGATGTGGGCCATGCATACATGCATGCACTATGCTATTTGTTTTGCTGGAAGGAGCAAAGCCTACTCTGAAAGAGACCTCATCTGGAGAGCAGCTTATATTTCTCCTTCAGTGAAAGCAAAAATCATCAGAATGATTACGAAGCCGTAGCTCTGCATGTTCCCTCGTTCTGGAAGATTATCTGCTAAAGTCTTACACTATACGATATTTCTGCCTGAAACTTTCCAAAGATTTTCCAGCTGGCTGGAAAATGTGCGCAAAAAGTCAGACGCCTATGCTGCAGATATTTGTGCAGGCTAAAATATAGCAGCCTTCTGTTCATGTGTAACCACGGCTTATTGAGCCTATTATTCTGATCTTTCAGCAATTATTAAATAAATCAAACAATAAAACGTCTGAATTACGGCATTTGATACATTGTCTTTGCACTATTTCCAGGCACTGTAATAATGTAACAACAGCGTTTCCAATCATCATCCTTAATTTCCCGCTTCGTCTCCACAGGATAATGACATTTCAAAGTCTAAAGTACGTTACTATAGTAACTCCCTCCAACATCGGGTGAAAAACAGAGTATGGCAAACAATGCTGCTGCTGCTGCCCAAACTCTCCAAGGTAAAGCTCCTGCATTCCCACTGCTGCTCACACAGGGTAAAATGGCTCAGAGAGAAACCGTTTTTCTGCCGTTTGTTTGCTCACAGGAATTCGTTGCCTCTCTCTTAAATCGAGTGTTTGAGGCTGGCTTTTGCAGTAATCAGGCCTCGGTGAAGTACCTGATCGAATGGCTGATGGTTCTGATCCTTGTCCGGTATCCACAACACATGGACAGCTTTTGGACGTGCTTCAACACGGTGAGCGCCCCCGGTACTCCATGCTGTTCTTTACCGGAGCAATCCAGCCTGAGCCGGGCTGTTTCTGAGCCGGGCTGTTTCCGTTTTCTGTGCAGGGTCACGAGCAGACCAAGACAAGCGTCTGCACTTTTCTCTCCGTCCTGGTACATTTCAGCATCATCATCCCACATCTGAAGGATGAGGTAAAACTGTCCGGCTTTGTTTCTACGTTCTTTTGTTCTTGTGGTGACGCAGAGAAGGATTTGAATACATTTCCTCCCTGTCTTTGCTGAAGGCGGTGCAGCTGCGTAAAGCATTAGACGTCATCCTGCAGTCCTGCTTCAATCACAACTTCAGCGTGCGTCTGTACGCCCTGCTTGCGCTGAAGAGGGTGTGGAGCCTCGCGGAGAGCCGGGTAGAAGAGGAGGCTGCCGCCGTGGGAGGACTGTCCTCGGTGGTTAGGGCCTGTCTGAGTCAGGCTGAGACCATGCAGAGCGCCGGGTTAGAGCAGAACAGCTGCCGCACTTAAAAGGATTTGAGTTTTGCGCAACACTTTGATGTATTTTTAGATTACGCATTTGCCATCTCTCATCCAGAAACGCAAACAAGAACTGGCTGAGGATTCAGGAGCACTTCTTCTTTGGTGCTTTTCATCCTGTCAGGGACTACAGTGTTGAGGTGACCTTGCTTATTTCTACCAAACAGATTAAGATCGACCAGAGCAGCGCAGTGCAACACTCATTTTTCTTTTATGCCGTCTGTTTTAGACCATCTTCTACACTTTCCCCAGTTTGTCAGACTTAGCGGATGATGAGTGGATCCCACCGTGGAAGTTTGAGAAGCTGCCCTGGATTTCTGGGAGCTCTTCGCTTCCGTTGAAGAATCCTTCTTCTGAGCTCGGTGAGCTCCAGCCTGGAGACTGGATACAGCAAGACAGAAGTACAGTAACACCGTTCACAAGCAGCAGAGCTACTGAATACCGTCCCGCAGCTCGAGGTTGACCTATACTCTGTGGACGTGGCGTCTCTCCTCTCAGGTGAGCAGGATAAGGAGGAGCGGTGGGCTGAGGTGCAGAAGAAGATCACCCCCTGGAGGCTGGGGATCCAGGAGCAGGAGCCTGAACTACAGCTGGTTCCAGCACAGAGGGCTGCCCGGCTTGGCAAATTTCACGGAGCCCTACTCGTGGTGGCCTCGCTTATTGATAAGCCCACCAATCTGGGAGGTGTGTTTTGGTTTTCTGTTTATCTGAGCCCATGATTGTTAAAGTCAAGCTATTTATGCCGAGTTGATGCTTTCCAGCCAAAACACTCTTTAACTCATGAAAAACTCAACTTTAGGTACCACAAAACATGTGCTTTATTTTCAATATTCCGACTTAAGAATTAGACAGATGTCGCTTCACCTGGGCTGGCATTTGTTTTGTTTATCTTTCCAGGCCTTTGCAGGACCTGTGAGATATTTGGTGCCAGCGCTCTGGTTCTTGACAGCCTCCGCCACGTCAGCGACAAACACTTCCAGTCTCTGAGCGTCTCATCTGAGCTGTGGCTTCCTTTGTCAGAGGTGACATAAACACAATAAGCACACGGTACATTTCCATCTTCATTAAACGCGTGTTAAGTAATGTTGAAAGGTTAGCTGAGGGTTAAAGTCCTCTCCAGTGACACCAGATGTAGTTCCCCAAAATGCTTACTCAAACACTGAGATCACACAGTCAGTATTATTCATTTAATTCATATTTTCTCGAATATATTTGACTATTTTTTTTATTTTTTGTCTTCTTACATGGACATCAGTATCATTAAAGCCCTTGACTCGGTGTGACCTTTAGGTGAAGCCCGTGGAGCTTACTGACTTCCTGCAGGTAAAGAAGACTGAAGGTTACTGTATTGTCGGAGTGGAGCAGACTGCCAACAGTCACAGCCTCCAGGACTACCAGTTCCCCGAGAAGACCCTCCTGCTTCTTGGGTATGACAGAATTAAATATTAGCCTAGACGGCTGCTCTGTTTTTCCCATCTGTGTGGTCACCGGCGCGCAGATGCATGCAGGCCTGTGGCTTCCACACACTTGTAGCTCAAACCCAGATAAATGTGCGAGCTGACGAGGCCCTTTAGCGCTATCTCACCTGTTTAGTGTGTTTCCCCACGGAGCTGGCTCCTCTCCTCTCTGTTGTGGGCCTGTTGGGGCACGCTCGGCTATAATTGGTTCTCCCTGAGGAGAGGAGCAAAGGAAATTAATTTTACAAACGAAAAAGAGGAGCGTGGTACTTTTTTTTTATCGAGTGTTGTTCAGATTGCCTGGATGTGGCCTCCGCTATCTTCTGGGCATTGACAGTTTGGCATAAATTGGAAGCTTCTACGACGGTAGTTTCACTAGTTTTCACCCCTCTCAGTAAATATTGTTGACATAGGAACATTGTGTGGCCGTTGCGTCTGTGTCCGGGTGTGCTGCAGTCACAGGGATAGGCGGTGTGCTCTGGATGAGCTCCGTCTCTAATGTTGTCACTGCGGTGCTCTCCACAGCACAGCATGGTTTTGCTCTAATTTTTCATCAGGCTGTTATTGTCTCATCCATTAACATTCAGAATGAATGTAGCTCATCAAATTCTGCTTCCTGACAACGTGGCTGTTGCAGCTGAATTATTTCTTTATGATTACTCTACATAGTTCATATTTTTAATGGGTTGATTATAGTTTGCACTACTTTTGACCTGAATTCATGAGATACAAGTATTAATAACTTATAGATGTGTATTAACATTATAGAAAGGTAAATAAGGATAACAATTTGGAATGACACAATTAAGACAATAGCTAGAGGGGTGATGACCCACAACAGGTACTCCAAAAAACTCAGGCAGTCCTCCATCTGAGCGAGAAACCGAAGGGCTAACTTGGCTTCTTGTTGTTAGGATTTCTAAATCAAAATGCTAAAATGCTTTTAATTAATTATTTGAAAAGAGTTGGCAAGTATTAAATTGTATTTTTTTAATACCAACAAGGTAAAGTTCAAAGAGCTCATAGAAAAAGTTGTGATTAACAAAGTGTACATTTCAGCCTGAAAAATGTTTGAATTCTGAACCTTGAATTTGTTTTGTTTTTTTCACAGAAATGAACGGGAGGGCATCCCTGCAAACTTACTCCAGATGCTGGACGTGTGTGTGGAGATCCCTCAGCAGGGAGTCATCCGCTCACTCAACGTGCATGTTAGCGCTGCCCTGTTGATTTGGGAGTATACACGGCAGCGTCTCGCCCTCTGTTCTGCTGAAGAAAAACACAACTGAAGCTTGAGTGGCGCATCTTGACTAGACACCAGACTATTCAGTGATGAGCTCACTTCCTTTTTTGATATTCTGTGCAAAAAAAAAGTTTGAGGGTGACTTAGGTGATCTGTTGGACGCGACTCTGCTGCGTCATAAAGAACAGTGTTGCTTATCACATCTAAGTGTTCCACTTGGCCTGGTGTGTATTAATGGGGGTAAGCTATATTAGCAGCTGTGGAAATTGAAAGCTTCCTCTTTTTTTTTACGGCCGCAACTCATTTCTGGAAAGGACCCACAAAATTCTAAAATGCTGTTTTGCTCCTGGTCTGTATTCTGAATTATTTTGATACTATGTGTAATGAGGTGTTTTTTTTAATTAATCATTTTAGCAAAATAAAACAATTTAGCATATCTGGAATGTATTTGCATGGATCAGATTGTCGAGAAGGTGGCATTGAAAGAGTTAACAAGTAGGCGTTGGTGCCCCCTCCTCCCTGCTCTCAATAAATAAAGCAGCTTGTTCACCTGGAGACCGTCAGATCAGAATGGGAGCAGATGGAGTTCTGTGGTCACAGTGATTTCTCTTTACACCAAGTCTCACTTTTACCGTGGATGACTCCTTTGTATAAGGAAAGGGGTTATTGGAGTGAGAGATGGGCGATCTGGAAGGTTCCAGGTCACTTAAGGGTGCAATGGTCAACACAAGCCAGACTGATGCCTCAGAGAGCGGGCTGTCTCCGTGGGCCCAGCTGGTCCTGCAGGTTCTGATGGTGCTCATGAGTTTGGGAGCTGTGACAGGTAGGCATAACTTTACCTGAAGATACATCAGTTAAATGCCTCTTTTCCCTTGTAGCTTTCACACTTCCTTAGCTTTTTATAGAGCTGTTAAAGGTCCTGCCAGCCAGAGCTGTCCATAAATCAGAGCAGGTTTTTAACATGTCTGCTTACTTTGGAGTTCTGCTCCTCCTGAAAAGCCTACTAATTTGTTAGATTTGTTTCCATCAAGTGGAAATAACCAAAAATTATTATTAATACTTACAGCTGTGTAGAAAAAGAGAGTACACATACTTTTAGTTGTTAGCTTTCTGGACAATATTATAATGCAATCTCTGATAAACAACATTTAATGTATTATAATTAGTTATTTATCAACAAAAAATGAGCTGAACAATAGTGCCTGGGTGTAAAAAGACTCTATAACCCATGATCCAGTCAGTCAATGAAAGGCATGTGATAGTCAAAAGTGTTTTCAATATTCATTTTCTTGAAGCAATGCGCTGTGCATTGTTCATCTAGGTTTTCCTCATTTTAAGACTTGGTACGTACCATTTGGTTTATTTGGTTGTGCCCTGATATGTAAAGCCCTAGAATTTGAAGAGGTTGCACTTTATTTTCCATGTAAAATGTATAATTAAAATAGATAAGCAGTCCAGGTACTCTGACTGTTTGTGATTGTAAGTATGTGTGCTGGATTTCTGTTTAGGGAATATTCTTGTCATTATTATTGTGGCTGCAAGCAAGACCCTCCAGTCTGTGACGTCGGTGCTGGTCATGAATTTGGCCATCAGTGACCTCTTGGTGGGCATCGGAGTCATGCCTTTTGTTGCTCTGTCCGTCATGGACCACAGGTGGATGGATTGTAAGGTAGGTCATCTTTGTCCTGTGGAATATGTTTAGTGACTGCGCGCACGTTAGCTTTGATCCACTGACTGTCCGTGTGATGAGGTCGTGTCTCTCTCCTGCCTGCCAGGACCTCTGTTCCTTCGTCGGTTACACCTCCTCTGTGTACCTCACCACCTCGGTCCTGACTCTGGCTGCCATCGCTCTGGACAGATACTACTCCATCATGGACTGCCTGCGCTACAGCGCCCGCTGCACTCTGTGGAGGACTTGCACCGTGGTGTTGTGGATCTGGCTGCAGGCCTTGGCCATCAGCAGCCCCCCCCTGCTGGGCTGGGGCTCCGTCAGCTATGTGGCGCCCATGTATAGCTGTGCCGTCAACTGGTCCGTCAGCCTGAGCTACACCACCTTCATGGCTGCCCTCTCTTTCCTCTTACCTGCAGTGGTGATCCTCTTCTGCTATGTGAGCATTGTTCAGGTGGCTCGCAACCACGCCAGGAGAATTCACACACTGGAGGGCTCCGTCCAGCGAGGCAGGAACCTCTGCTCTGACTTCACTCCCGGCAGGAGCCCCTGGAGACTCATCTACCACATAAACGGAGAGTTTGTGTGTCAAGCCGGCACACAGGGGGAGAACATCAACTCTGCCCCTCCTGAGACTGTACAAGAGAGCAACACCGCCGCCAAGGTTTTGTTCCCTTTTCTGACTCGGAGCAGCCTCCAAAACTCCCCAAAGCACCACCATGGAGTGAGACGCCTCCTGCTGGTCATCACGGCTTTCCTCCTGTGCTGGACGCCCTACATCGGCGTGGCTCTGGCCCAGGCCACAACAGCTCTTGTCCCACCCGTTGCCATTACCTTCTCCTACTGGCTGGTGCTGCTGAACTCTGATATCAATCCCCTTCTGTATGCTCTGCTCAGCAAGCGTTTCCAAAGCGCGCTTAAGGGACTTTGGAAAAAAATGAGAGCACATCCGGGCAGAGCAGCGGGCAGGGAAGAGGATGGCAGGAACAGTGACCCCTGCGCGCTGTCTGCCGCGCTTCCCAGCTCCCATTCCAGCACAGAGAGTTTGACTTGTGACACCTCGAGGTATTCCTCCTCCATTTTTACTATCAGTGCTGAATTTAAATGTCAAGATCAAGATGAGAACCACGAGTGTCACGGTGAAATCTCCTCGTCCTCATTCATGAAGCTAAATGCTGGTGGTGACAAGAGACACAATCTGCAGGTCCCAGCTCGGCCACAAGAGGGAAGGAGGCTGCCGTTTTCTGCTCTGACCGAGCAGAATGAGGCCACTTTTCTCTTTGGACAGATTACAGTAAAAGTGCAGCATGATATTTGCTAGAGGGATTTCTGCTGGGGCAATAACAGGTAAATGACCACCTGTATCTTTAGACCTGGATTGATTCAAATGATTTGTTTAATCATCAGTTCATTAATTATCAAAATTATTTGATTCATAAACTGTCTGAAGGCTTGCATTTTTTTCTCTTTCACTTGACAGCAAAAGATAATGACTTAATTGTCAAACATATTTCCATGTAAACAATCCATCACTTAGCACGTACAGTTCAGTGACTGAATAATAATTTTAACTAAATATGTTCAACATGCCCCAATAATTAAGGGTAACACAAAAAAGGTTCTTGTCATATTAAACAGATTTCAAAATTGAATGAGAGTTGCAAAATAAAAAGGAACTTTCAAGGTTTTTCAGTGAATTGTGACTCAATGCTGTAAAGTACACAAACTTGACAGAACTTAACTTGTTCAAACAAGCATATTTAATTGATTCCCATCACCCAAGCAGCATTTAGGACTCCCTGAACACATTAAACTATAAAAGGTTGCACATCCTAATGTATTTTAACTGTCTATTAAACTGAACCATGATTCTCTATTAGTAAATTATTTGTTTAAATGCTGAGGAAGAACAGACCTTGACAACGTAAAGTATTGAAAAGAATTATTTTTATTTAGTACATGTGATTACACTTGAAGACACCCAACAGTAGATCCAATAAATCTTTGCTCGAGTCTCATTCTAAATTTCTTTTTCTCAAATGTGACCGTCATATGTAGCGTCTCAAGTGTAAAAATCATCATTCCTTACAAAGGTTTACATTTATGTCTTGCAATAATTCCAGAGGAATACAATATTATTATTTATTGTCATAGAGAATGACAATGGGAAACAGTGCTAATGGACTCTATTGCAAAACAAAGTAAAGGCAGTGAAGTGGACTTTTCAGCCATATCTGCTCATGTGCATGCTCGATCTGTGGATGTCGGTCCCTGTTCTCCTCGAGGTTATTCAGCAACCAAATGCAAAAATAGAAAAAGTCTGCAATGTTTATTTCCAAGAGAAAAACTCATTCGGATGAGTACAAGGACAATATTAAAGAGTCTCTCTCTGCAGCAGTCTGTGGGGCACTGCCAGAAGCAGTACTTAGCAAGCGTTTGTGGTCGATTGATGTTCATACATTCACAACAAGGCAGAGTTCACAACAGTCGCTTCATGAGACGTGTGCATCAGTCGTTCCCCTCAGTTGTTACCCTGCCTCGGAGATGTGATAAACAAAAAACGGATACAGTAAGACTTTTTGAAAAGAGCGGGAGAAATGTGAGCCGTGCATCAACACGCCTCTCCTCAAGCCACAGTGAGACAGTTTTCTACCGTCTGCTGATTTTTTTCCCCCTCAGAAATAAAATGCTTTAACGGAACTTCCACAGATCTGTTTGTTTGCATGTGAACACAGAAGGTTAAATGTCTCAGGAATCAAAGAGAGGCTCAGTGATAGCTTCCAGTGGCGGGTCAGTAATTAAAGGGGTATTTTCAAGTTTTCATTTAGCTTGTCAGCCTTCCGTCCATCAGCAGTTTGGGATTCCTGCAGCATTATTTAGAGCTTGCAATCTCATGCTCTGATATTAAATGGAATAGTGTTGATGTTTTGACTGACTTGTTATTAGATGGTAAGCTTTATCAATAGGTGAGTAGTGAGAGCACATAACCACAGGAGGCCAAACGCTGTGGTTACAATTTCATTGTAAAAAAAAAAGCCTTTTTAGGCTCTAATTGATCTAAGATTATGACAGGGTGTTTCACACCAGAGGATCCTGTCAGGCCTGAAGCTCAATGTTATGTACAGTGCACAAAATGTGGGTATTTGTCGTTAACTTGCATCCTGAAGTATTTCTCCATAGGCTTCTTCTCAGGCATTCAGCATTTTCGGTATTCCTCTTTGAACCTTATAGTATGTAAATAATTACATATTAGATAAGGCCAGCTGGTTTAGAAGGTGCTGTTTTTTTTCTCAAAAACCGAGAGCCTCTAGAAAGTTGGCAATCACAGGATATCGGGAGTCCACTAATTGATTTAGAGGTGCTGTAAAACATACAACTCAATCAATTATACCTGATCAGTTTTTGTGTAAGAAGGATCGCAGACTACTACAATAGAGTTAATGCTAGACAATGTGAGCCTTCTATATCTTCTCCTGTTCGAACTACTAATAAGAGGGGCTGTCCAGATTAGTTTTTAATTTTTACTTTTTCTTTGCACAAAAAAAACATGCCTCTCTCTTTATCTATGTGTGTTTTTTAGGTTCACATTTATGGAATCAGTGTGTAAATGTTGACATGGACGTCCTGGTTCTGCCTCTCCAGTTGAGGCCGGTGGCGGCGCCGGCCTCCCCGCCGGCCTCTGCCGGCTCGTCGCGTTTGCGCAGCTTTGTGTTGAGCTGGATGATGCACTGGTCCCAGTCCTCTGGTAAGAGCAGCATGAGGAAACCCAGACAGATGATGAACACAGCGATGAGGCGCACCATGTTGAAATGGATTTCACATGTATAGAGGTCCACCACTGTAAAGAAAAAAAAAATCATTAGGAGCTTAAAAGAAAACAAATTGGTTTATCAGGCAAATTGATTCATCAAAATCATTAGAAAGCATATTAACATATATTATATTGCTAGAGCAAACATTTTTTTCACGTAAAATGTTCATTAAACTCCAAAAATGAGCTACCAGAACTTAGTTTTCATTTTAAAGCCATTTCTGATTAAAAGTTTGAATGGATTACAAATGTGAATATTCTAAACAGAAAAAGTCTGGGGACTTACAGGCATTAACAGGGACACTTAGGACAATGCCAAGGGATATTAATGTTGGGTACGTTACAGCGATGCCAAAGTTCACCAGGATATTGAAAGCTGTGGGGAGAGACAGAGCAGCAGCAGACCACAAAATGACAATGTCAGATGATTATTAAAAAAAACATAATGAGCATTGTATAAGCTTTGTCAACAGAACTGCATGGACTGCCAACTCCAGTTACCAAAAATCAGGGCTGCAACCCCACAGAAGTGGCCCCAGGGGATGTCTGCGGGTGAGCCGATGTACTCCACACGTGTAAAATACAGGATGACTGGCACGAAGCTGATGAAGACAAAGTTGGCGCTTCCGACAATACTCAGAAAGAGTGCAGCTTCTCCAAATTTGGCACTGCCCAACACCATTTTGAAGAGCACCTGAGGATAAAGAGGGAGGAGAGAAATGAAAGCACAAGATCCCCCTCTGAAGGAGCTGAAGGGCACCACAAAAGCTTTACCTGTCAACTATCTGCCATGTGTCTGGCTCAGGCAGTGCCTGTCTGTTTATCATATTAAGCAGCAAAGAAAAACAGGGCAGGGAAGAACAGAAACCTGTCACAATTTAGCCATCTGCCCCTTGATCAAGGAATCCCAGCAGGGAGCCAGCAATAAAATTGATACATACCACATACCTCTGTTAGCTGAGTCTTAAATTTCTTAATCTCATTCTGTCCTGGTTACATAAGAAGAAGGGAGCTGCTCCAAGTTTCCCTTATATAAGACCGGACAATTCAGATATACTTGGATGTTTAGCTCTTTAAATGGGATTGTTCCACTGTGGGTAAAAATAACACTACTAGGCAGTGAGCTCTGCCTGGTATTAATGTGTTTTTATTTGATGTAAACAAATACCTTGTAGAGCGCCGACATCGAAGCCGAGGCCACAACCAAAGTAATGCCGATGACCGAGTGGCTATGGAATCCGTCCGCATAGGTCATCATTACGATGCCCGCTATGGCCAAGATAGCAGCTACTATCTGCGAGGAGACAGAACATTAGTGAATGACGGATGGGCAACATGCTGCTCACAGTTTGGTGATTAAGACACTCAGTCCATTACGGCTGTGTGGAGACACAGGGGGTGCCCATGCCCTCCGTTTTGTTATTCAGAGCAGAAATCACGAGCGTCCTAGGACTGGGTTTTTAAAGCTGTAATTAATGTGAGGGTTTTGTTTGTTCCTCAGCGGGCTGCTCATTTGATGTTGATTTTCTTTTGTGCAAACCGAATTGTTTCACGGGGAAATCTGCCCTCAGGTTCACATTGCAACACAGGATGGGCAGACTCTACAGTGTTGGGCTTGATTGTCTGACATCGATTTCCATTACACCACCGCCATGTTTACAATGCAAATACCAGCCTTCGTTCCAGCAGCTCCCCACTTATCACTCCCGCTCCCTGCGTCTGCGGCTAACACGACACAAGATCATCTGCTTCATCCTGCTCTCAGTCAGCCCTGATGGACCAAAAACTAAATCAACCATCCGTCTCTTTCATGTTTGTCCGTGTCTTCATTGTGGAGCTGTACAAGCAGGGGTGGTTGGCAGAGGAACGGCGACGGGCACGTGACTCGGTCCAGCTGAGTGGATTAGCTCTGCATTAAAGAGGTGTCAGCAAGATAAATGAGCTTCGTGTTTTTGCTGGGCCAGAGCCCCGGGGTACTTCTGGCAAAACAGTTCTTTCTGCACTGCAGCCTGCCTGTCAATCACAGCTACACCTTTCATTTCAGCGAACAGCAGTTTGTTTGCAGGGTCAGCAACAATGGGAGGTTTCAGCCATAATTTTAGTGACAGGCAGAAAAAAATAAAACTTCATCTCAGCTTATGTTTACTGTTTAAAAGACACGACGCTATTGCTCTGGTATGTGGACTTACTCCTCTTACATCATCAGGATGTTTTGACTTGCATGATAACCACATGTTAGCTCCGCTCCTGGCATATCTTCATCCACACAGTGTCTCCACAACGGCGTTTATTCATGCCTGTCATACACAGAGGTCTTACCATCCCACCATCATGTTCTACCTTTGCTTTTGTGGCCAATTCATCCAAGATTCCCCCTGCATTGGATCTTAGTTTCAAACACTGCAGTCCCCAACCCCCCCCCTCCCCCAAGGATATGGGAGCAAAAGGAAGTGGTCTTTTCACTGTAGTTGTCGTTTACAGAGGCATTCATTGCAGGTAATGGGGGTGGAGAGATGTGGGCATGCTCAAGGGAGAGGTGGAGCTTTAGTTGGCGATTGGAGGAAAAGAGGGGAAATCCATCCTGCAGAGAGCAGGGCAGCTGCAGGCGTGAGCGCGTGCAGTGGGAGGGGAGAAGAAGGACTCCTACGCTTTCTGTATTTGTCTGGAGGCCAGTGTGCAGCAAACCCACACACAAACAGACCCCCCCCCCCTTCCATCAGTGAATGACACTCCATCATTGGTGAGTAATCACAAAGTCACACAGAGTAGATGCTCTTCTCTGCTGCATGCGTATGTCTCCCGGAATCGGTCGTAAATCACATCAGAGCATCACACGCTTGCTCTGCTGCTGACAAAAACAGAACGTGTTTGTCATGACGAGTTACAGGGCAAAGTTTAAGTTCACACCTCAGACTTTCTGAGACCTTGAAGCAAAATCGGCAGATACATCATTTCGTGTCATCAAGGCACCATTAAACGCAGCGCACGTGGAAATAGAGGTAGATAATGAGGCAGAAATATGACAGATGCAGCGCACAGATACTCGTAGTTACTCACTCTGACGCCCATAAAGCGGTCTCTGAGTACAATCCAAGACAGCAGGAAGACGAAGGCCTTGTTACAACAGAAAAGAGCTGATGCGTCCGTTGTATTGATCTTCCTGAGGGCCTGCAGGTACAGGTAGTTGGTGAGGATCCACAGCAGGCCAAACGGAGCCACTTTGGTGAAAAACACCTTGGGTGTCAGACCGTCATCCCCAAAAAACCTACAGCACTCCCTGTGCCGAAACACAACATAAAATGCTGAGTTAGCCTCATGCAAGTGGGAGAAATAGATGAAGAATCCGGAGTGAGACCAGGTGTATCTTAACAAGTGGAAGAAAAAACACTGACATCACTGCAATGTAAAATATATGTAAATATTCATGAATACTCTGCCATAACAAAGAAGAACAGGTCATTTGAGGTGCTGCACAACCATAAAAGATGTTAAGAGAAGTAAAAAGTTATTTTATGGACAGTGAAAAGTCTCCAATCCTAATCTTTTCCAGCAGAGTTTATCAAGATGCTGGTTTTTATACCAAACGGGCGCAAAAATGATCAAGCATGTTAATAACTTATAAATGCACAAGAGACAGCAAACTGTTCCTGCTGTTTCTGCATTGGCTAAAAGTAACATAGATAGATGCAACAACTCAGATCAGTTTGATTTCTAGTCAGCTCTAGCTTTTCTGAAAAATCCTCCTGGCCAAGTAAACATGAACTAATATATGTTTTTCCTACGTTGTGACTGGAATTTGGCTCAGGGCTGAGTTTGGATGCCAAAGAGAAAATGACTCTGAAGAGTTTTAGCCAAGCTGACAGTCTGAAAGTTAGAGATCTGTGTGAGTGTCAGTGAAGCCTGTATCATATGAGAGAGGACCGTGTAATTTAGTATCACATCTCTCCATAGTGGACGAGTCCATTGTGCTACTACATCGTCTGCAGAACTGACACTTTGCTGCTCTGTTGTTATGCCAAGAAGGGTTTTATTTTACCAAAAACTACCTGGCCCGGAACTTCACCCTGGAAGAAAAACAAACAGCGATGTGTTTCTGACTTCTATCTATAACAGTACTGGTGAGTAATAACATTTACCCTGAGAGGATCTGGCCTTGTGCTAGCAATGAAGCAGCAATAACTGAGGAGTGGCTGGTGGCACTGAGTCCTGCTATATCCTGTGGAGCAGCATCAGCTCCACAGAGCACAATCTGAATTGGAACCGCATTGCTTACACCCTCCTTATAAACACAGCGCTGTTCGGTGACAACAGAATGAATCCTCATGGTTCAGCAGAGAAAAATCTAAAATTGGAGGGACGTGGGTCAGATTTTCCTAATTCCATCTTTTGGTCTTTATTTTTAACTTTTATTTATCCACCAGAGGATGCACTGTAAATAACTACAGAGGAAAGAGAAGGTTTGGTAACCAGAGCACATCGTCTCTTGTCGAAGGGAGAAAGCCCCAGATCCCTGTGTGATCCCCAAAAGAAAGGGAGATTTATATCACAGAGCTGAATGAGAAACACAAAGCTAATACCACCAGCTTCCTCACACTGCACACCCTCTAACCCGCCAGACTCTGTGCTTCTTTGTACTCCGGCTGCACAGCGGGTAGCAGAGATAAGGTTGTCAACTGGAGTCAGTAATAATGATTTTAACAAGCTGGCTTCTAATTGGATTACAGGAAGAGAGCAGAAACTGTTATATCAATTAAGGAGTGTTAAGATATTTTCCTGAATATCCATTCATACACAGACAGATTGTGTCACTTAACTTTCTGTTTAATTATTTTTTGTAACCAATATTTTCTCCTGTGTATTACCTCTTGTTATTTCTAAAGAAATTAACAGGTAAAATGATTGCATCACTTTATAGTTGAAAGGTCAGCTACTGCCCCAGGCCAAATTTTACAACAGACGGCTTAATGTTTTACTCCAAAATGATAGTGTTTACTTTGTCCATTACCATATGTAAATGTAGGGGAACTTAAAATTGTAGTTAGGTCATTAAAAGCTTTAATGATGGTCCTATGCAGAGGCTATGGGACCTGCATCTTCTTTCTGCAGTCAGGCTCAGAGAGAGCATTCTTGAGCAGTGCCCTTTAGAGTGTCTGCTTTGAAAGGTTTTGCCATCCTGATGGTCTTAATGTTTGAGTTAAAAACATACGGGGCCTTGTGGGTAACACTGGCCATGGGTGGCATTTGACTTTCAAACAAAATAATATTTTGGGTCCAACTCATATGTGAAGCAAGGGAAATATATCTACACAATTTGACAGTGCTAAAATGAGTCCAAACAGAAAAGACCTGGGCATCATGACAGAGGTTAAGTGAACTAGAAAGTATGCGAACAGTAAAAACAAAAAAAGTACCCTTCGATATGGAAAATGTAATCTTTGCTACCGACTATTCAGAAATGGTAGTAATAGTCAGAATGAATTGAAACCACTTCTAACACCGCATTGTCTTTTGTCATGTCATATCAAGCCAGACAAAAACTGTACTGTAATTGTGGCAGTTTTTGGAATACCATTTGCCTGTTTGTTCAGTTGTAATGCAGAGCAAACCCTCTCACCTGAATCTCTGCCTGGGCGTCTGCCTCTCTGGATTCTTGTACAGGTGGCCGATGTAGTAGAGGGGGAAGAAGAGGCAGTTCCACGTAGTGGCGAACCAGGTGAGAGTGAAGGGGGCATCAAAGTGCTTAAAGGTCAGCTTGGCCAGCTGGGTGGAGCCTGCCCAAGACGAGCACACGCACATCACCATGACCACCCCCCACAGGGCCTTCTGCGCCTGTACGGCCGATACTCGGATGCAACAGTGGAGCCTCCGTCTGTTGGAGCTGGATTCTGTCCCAGCTGCTCCAGCTGACTGTGTGTCTGAGGTGCCCACCACATTCTCTCTAGTACGGTCTTCTCCTGTGGATGACAAAGTACTGCTCTGAGACAAAAGTAAACACTCACAGATTCTGGTCAATTTGCTTTGCATTTGCATACTGCTTTTATATATATATATATATACACATATACATGTTTTTCTGCATTCATCTTCAGCATGAGTAAGTTAAGGGCTGATGAAGCACATTCTGGTTGTGAGAGTGACCTCATGAAATGCACGTTTCTTTTTTCTTTTTCTTCAGATAAAAATAGCCTCTTTTGTGGTTTAAATGAACTTGAAGGTAATCAATCGGACATCTGAGTTAAAAATATGGTGATTGAGTGTGACAGGCGGCAGCCAAACAAAGGACAAAATGGGGTCGGATCTGATATCCAATCCAAGACGACCTTTTTTCAAACCCGATGAGTTAGGTGGTACGTGTATTTTTAAAAGTGCACAAAGGCGCACACAGCATTTCCCAACTTTTTCAATTTCTCCTGGCAAAACCTGATAGCCTTCATATGTCTTCAGTAAGGAATGAATTGTGTTGACCTGCTGTCTACCATCCCACTCACAGCCACTCTCCTGCTTCAAATTGATTCTCTCACCAAGGTCAATGTTTTCCTTTCAGTCTTCAAACTTACCGACAGATACACCATCTGCTTACTCGTCTAAACACTTCAGGTATTGATGTATTATCACAAGCGAAAGTGTAAAAGTTATTAATCTGAAAAGGGCTGGACATCTATTTATTTTGCAGTTAACTGTGGCGACATATTTTACCCAGCAGATCTACATTCAGGTTGATCAACTGCTTTATTAATAACATATCCATTATTCATCATATCCATTATTAATATATTTTGGGTAAGACAGCGGAGCATCGGCTCGGTTTCATAACAGCTGTATAACAAGTATCTACTGTGGCTTCCTTCCAATAAAACTAAAACAGGAGGGATCTCCTTGACGGTGCTTCCAGAGGCAGTAATCTGCCAGAGAGAGCCCTTTGCTGATTCATCTCCACTGTACACCATGGACTAGAATACTGAACGCACTTCAGAAGACCTCAATAAAACCAGAATATGACAAAGATGCATCGGAGTTACCCTGTAAAAATGATCATTGTACAGCTTAAAGAGGACGCAGAACCTTTGTGGCTATGCAGCTGGTCAGCACAGGAACAGGACCTGTGAAACTGAGGGAGCACCCAGTGTCTTTTATAAGCGGTTTGCTGGTAAGAGCTGCATAAGAGAGCATACATCATGCTCAATGAGGCAGCTCATTCTTCCTGGTATAGAGCTGCACCTGATTTTGCCAGGTGGCCTCATCACATCGCAGATTAACTCCGCTAATGACAATCGCCTCCGATGCTAATACCTCACCTACCCCCAGGTTATATAATGAATGCGTGTGTGATCCCGATCCTCTTTATCTAACGCAAACAGAGATATTAAAAAGGGTGATTTGTAAAAGAAATGAAGCAGCACTGTTTGAGCATTCTGATCAGCTCAGCTCGGACAGCACAGCCACCAGTCCGACTGCGACCGAGGAGGATTCAAGATAACTGCCTTTATGGCGATGAAATGATGAATCAGCCCGGACCATAAAAAAAGGAAAGCCCACATCGAAGCCTTGAGCAAAAGGGCGAGCATGTTGTTTCTGTATTTGTATTATCTAAGTATTGTTCTGAAGGTCACCTTTTGTTGATGCTGCACCATTTTCTTTTCCCGTCCTGGGCCTCCATCCCACATCCCGCAGCTCAGACCACTTCCCTGTGCTGCACCACAGCTTAATCTCCCAAATGCAGTCATGGGCCAAGTCGTTCAACCCCTCAAAAAATGGACCAGCGTAGCACTAGAGGGGAGCTATGGCAGCAAAAATGATGAAGAAAACCCCAGAATTTACACCCAAAATGTTATTATACTCAATCATGCACTAAAAATCAATGTTAGAACTCATGTTTAGATGTTAACACATGCTGGCTTTGACATAATGTTACCACTGGAGCCCAAACTGACAGGTAACACACTTCTTTTACGCTTATAATGACTGTGGCTATGGACTCTAACTGCTCATGAACAATAGGGGACAGAGCTGAGCTCATCAGGCTCATCAGTGTGAGGGTGAAAGGAGAAGCTGAGCGAGACAGAAATGCTTCTCTGATCCTTGAAGCGATTATTGCTGTAAATGAAACAATTAAAAAAGGCCTGTGACAGCTAAATTCTTACCTGGAAGCTCTTAATCTCGACAGTTTATAATCAAATGTATACCGTCAACAATGTGGTGCATACAGCGCAACTTTGTCAGAAAGCCCTATGCTCATTAAACTTATTTAGATTTAATCTAACCCCACGTGGAAATATCTCCATTAACACAACCCCTTCTATGTCTAAATGCACTTACGTTAGTCCTAACGGGAATCAGCTAAATCATTGGAGACAGGATGGGTGTTTGGCTTGCTTGTAGGCTCCACATTGATCCGAACTGACAGCTGTATACAGCTTTTCTTTGTGTCCTCTTTAAATGTATTCATTCCCAACCACAAATTCGAACAAAAAATGTAAAACCTTAGTGGAAGATTTGCTGTGACTCTTGAAGGAGACAGAGAGGATTGTACATCAGACTGGTTGGATTCTCTATTTTGTTTTTTGCAAAGTTTCTGTCCATTAGTAACAGTAAACAGTAAAGGTCCCTTTCTTTGGTGTGATAGTCTTCCTCATGATAAAGGCTAATAATCTTTATTCTATGTGCTCATTTGTCTGTCTGCTGTAATGCAACACACTGATCACCTCATAAACGGTTTATTGAATGTGAATCATACTCCAGATGACTCATAAGGATGCTAAGATCTATCTTGTCATTAGTGAGCCGGTTTTCCCGCTTCTTCCCCCCTCAGTCCCAGATTCCCTGATAATTCCCGACCAGCCTCTCTCCCACTTCTCCTATCCTCCCTCCCCCTGCAGCCTCTGCAGTGCAGATCTCTCCTGCTGATAGCTGCAAATCCCAAACGTGCCAGCAGAGCCCTGCCTGACTGCCGGCTCCCACACGTCACACAACTTGGCCATGACAGGCCGCGAAAGTCGCCCGGTTATTCCCTCGGGGCTGGCCATCCATTCCTCTTTCTCTTTCCCTGCCACTCTCAGAGTGAGGACGAGGATCCATAAAGGGAGCGGTGATTAGACTTATGTTGGTTTGCCATGGTGGCCGTGCAGCAGTCAGAAGCACTTGACTGGGAGCTCAGCTAAGCGGGACACAAAGATGTGAGAAGGAGTTTTGCCTGGCCAGCCGCTTGGCTTTCCCTTCTTTGGGATTGGTGGTTAACTTCAATGCTTTGCTCCTCGGTGATCCAAGGAGCTGAACAGACCAATCATCCACTTCAGAGGAGCATTTCTCCTCTCATGACCTCCATGGTAATGATCATGACTGACTGTCCTCCTTATGATAACAGATTATAATGTGAATTTATTAGAAGTCTGAATGCAGACTTTTCCACTGCTTAAAAAAAGTGCAAATGTGCACAGTTCTCTGTAACAACTTGACAGAAGTTTAATATAGCTGGAGGACAGTCAATATTTGTTATGGGTGAAATCATTGACAATAAAAATGAGCAAACAACTGCGTAGTAACTGCAATAGATAGATACTGTAAACCATTGGTTTACAATATCTATGGCTGCCATAGAGGGTCAGTCAAAGGTTTAGTAAGAAATAAACCTTCCAATCACCACTTGGCTCATTTAGTTTGTCATTTCTGACATACAAGTCAGAGACGAAAAGATGGCAGCCTGTCTCTGAGAGGCGAGGTGCACCGTGGGGATGTTTATGATGCATAAAGAGGAGCGCTAGTTGGATCATGGCGGAGGCAGTCATGCAGACAAACAGTGGTCACTGCCGGCACCTGACAGGCAGAGGGAGTGTGATACTCAGCTGTGACAGCTTGGTCAGGTCAGCCTGTCAGTCAAACGCGGTTCAACACGCCAAAGTCCTCTGTTGAGTCTGTCTGAGTCAATAACACAAAACCGGAAAACACAGCCTGCTGCGTGAGCCAGCTGATGGGCTGGAGGTACAAAGGTCCCAGAGGGCGGACAAGGGTGGTACAAATGTTACTGATCCCACTCGCCTTCAGCCTCTATCTCTTTCTCCTTCAGCCTTGAAGGACAACTAAGCAACTTCCTCGCAAAGCAGCCGACTTGTTTGTGAGTGCCTTGACCTGCACAGCTGCCACAACAGACGCTCACGCACAGGTCAGTGCTGCGGTCCACTGATGCCCCGCCGTTTGAAGGCCAGGATGAAAAAAGAATCCCTGTCTGCCACAAGCTGGCCCTGACTGCAGGGGGAGCGTGCACTGCGTGTCCCAACAGCCTCAGCATGATATCATATTTGGCATCAGATACACGCACTGTAATACCCCCAGCATTTTAAAACTCCCTCCCTTTTTCTAGGCGTCCCACATGAGAGTGAATATGGTGATTGACCAGCGCATTAACAGACTGGCATGAGTCCCAACACTTTCCGCGACAAATCAATGTTTAACAGATTGGCCACAGCATCCCTGTTGAAGTAATGGATAGGCAACCACTGCAGGTGTACACCGAGTGGCAACACAAACAAGAGTTTTCGCTTCCTCTCTGCACTCCGGTGATAACACCAGCACTATTTTAAACTCAAATTAAGCACAGTTAACACTTTGCTGTTTTTCAACAGGTCTTACTCAAATCCATTATGTCTGTGCTCAGGGGTGATTTGATGGTGTTTCTAATGAAATCCTCAGAAAAAAAAGGGTTTGTTTACCAAACAGATATGTAGTCAGGCATTTTCAGTGCAAAACCCACACATTGCTTCTGCTTCACTGTATCATCAGACAGGCAGCCTCCCTTCTTTTGGATCAACCACATCAGGGTGGGATTAAAGCTAAAAGGTTCCCCGCCACATCAAAACAACACAAAAATGTTCCCTAGGCAAACAAAGGAAAAAAATAGAAGACCATTGAAATGCCAGGCATTGTATTTGACTTGGCATCTTTCATTGAATACCTCCCCCGTTTTTTTATCAACCCGAGCAAAAGCTTGGCCTCTTGGAAAAAATAAAAAGCCCCGTCATGGTGGACTGACTGCACACTTATTCATTCGCAAGAAGAGGCCTCACTCATGCATCTCTGACAACCTTCAAAGTCAGCTGCATTTACATCCCAGAGTACTTCCACCATTATAAATTGCCCTTTAATGGAGCTTCAAAAGGAAGCCGACAAAATTAAAAACACTTCTGACATATATAGTATGAACCTATGTCTGACCTCTGCTCAGGCAGAGCTTCAGTTCCACAATAAGCCTGAACACATATTAGCATACAAATAGGAATCATGCACACATGT